TTTAAAAATAGCATGGATATTTCATGCAATATAAATAATAAATATTTAAAAATAACATGGATATTTCATGCAATATAAATAATAAATCTTTAAAAATAACATGGATATTTCATGCAATATAAATAATAAATCTTTAAAAATAACATGGATATTTCATGCATGTTTAATCAGAAAAAGCTTGAAAGGGTACCGTTTCGAATCGAATGTATGCTTTTCGAAAAAATGGAGTCACTTGAATCTTATATATTAATCTCATTAAAAAATTGAATGCTCTACGAGTTGTCAAAATGCTTAAGCTCTGATGAAAGATTTAAACTAGAAAAATTCAAAACTATGATTTTACAAAAGAATTAAGTCATTGCCCCAAAATACAATTTTCTATTCCTATATCTTTGCAACCTGATGGTGAAAACCTCCGATATTTCAAGCTTAGATTATTTTTATCTAAGTTCTAACAGACTTCATAATTTGAAATGTCTAAGGACTGCGACATTGGGGGTTTAAGATAAAGAGATTATAAAAAATGGTTTCTAGCAAAAATTCAATTACCACTTGAAATAGGATAAACATTTCAGATTTTTGTTGTGACTCTTAAAATGTGGTAATTTCTTGAATTTTCATTTTAGAATTAAAAAAAACATCTTTTTTATTCCAGGCAGTTGAGAGAGCTAACATTGACAAAACTCCTCTCCAGGAGGCGAAACTACCAATTGTCTGGGTTCTGGGAGGACCTGGATGTGGAAAGGGAACCCAGTGCGACAAGATTGTCGCCAAGTACGGGTTTACTCATCTCTCCTCCGGGGACCTGCTCCGAGAGGAAGTTGGATCCGGCTCCGAGAGAGGAAAGCAGTTGACAGCAATCATGGAGAAGGGAGAACTAGTTCCTCTGGTAACATTTTTCATACGTCAACCTGCAGGATTATCCACAAAGGATGAGACTGTAAAGACGACCTGAAACTCTTTAAATATGACGAAAGTTAAGTTAAGTTTTCTACCGTGAATAAGATCTTTTAAATAGGTTATTAAATGATTTGGCAAAGAAAGAAACAAGCTTGCAGTTGTAGGAGATCATGAATATAAGGAGACAGACAGTATAAATTTCTTGCAGTCGTCTCTGAAGTCTCATCCTTTATGGGTAACCCTGTACTTTAACATTACAAGTATGATTGTTGAAACAATAATTTTACAAGATTTCCCTAGTCCTGACATTTTTTAACAAGTCGTCTCTCAACTGTCATATTTCGTGGGACACCCTGTAAATATCTCTTCTGATAAATATTTTACTCGACTCCTTGCCTTAATTTATATTTTATTGTCTATTTTTCTATATTTTTCTCATTCTCTTTCACTTAATCTTATTTTAATCTATTTATAATTATCTTTTCAGTTTTTATAAGATTTAACGAATTCAATGATTTTTGGTTTCTTCTTATGACAGAACTCTGATTTTTGAACTATCTAAGGTTTTACGTTTTATTTTTGAACACTTATTGATTAAAATCCTACCCTAGGCTGTAGTGCTGGACCTCTTGGCCGAGGCCATGCTAGCCAAACTCTCCGGATCCAAGGGATTCCTCATCGACGGGTATCCTCGTGAGGTCGCCCAGGGCGAGGAGTTCGAGAAAGAGATCGCTCCCTGCGCTCACATTCTGTACTTCGAGGTCAGCGACGAGACAATGACTCAGAGACTACTGAAGCGCGGTCAGACCTCCGGCCGTGTAGACGATAACGAGGAGACGATCAAGAAGAGGCTCGATACATTCCACAAGCACTCTGAGCCCGTAATTGCAGCATACGCATCCAAGTGCTCCAAGGTTAGTATCTTGTAGTTAGTAGGGTCTGGAGTCAAGAGTTACATATTTTAAGCAGTCTCAAGTCGAATTGAGCAAACCTAGTACTTTCTTAAAGCAATTAACGTTTATACATTTTTTAAAATGATTCATTCTTTTAAATTTATTTTAATTTCCTCATTAGTCCCTAAAATCCCAATTTAGAGCAATTAAAGATCCAAAACGATGTGGAACACCCTGTATATTTAAAGTTTTAAAAACTCGGTTTTATTTATTTCTAGTTCTTAAAGGACCTTTTTTGAAGACCGGGTTGGTTTTACGTATTTCTAGTTCTTAAAGATCACTTTTCATATTTCTAGTTCTTAAAAAAATCGGTTTAACATATTTCCAGTTCTTTAAGATCGGTTTTTATAGATTTCTAGTTCTTGAAGATCAGTTTTTATATATTTCTAGTTCTTGAAGATCAGTTTAACATATTACTAGTTCGAAAAAGTCAGTTTTACATATTCTTATCTTAAAAGACAGTTTTATATATTTTTGGTCTTTTTTTAATAGATCTAGTTTTCAAAATACTGTTTTACACAAATCTAGTGATCGACAGTGTGAGCTTTACAGTAAAACAATACTTATATTTCTCTTACAATAGGTTTGGTATTGCATACTTCTTTCAAATATTCTCTTTCATTCAGATCCCTGCAGAGAGAGCAGTTGATGAGATCTTTGCTGATGTCTGCGCTGCTCTGGACAAACTGTAAATACAGGCGCTAACAAACATGCACTGAAGAGATCCTTGCAGTATGGTAGACCTACCCGGAGAAATATCAGAACGGAGCCATACATTTCAATGAAAACTATGGCACAGTGCAATCCAACAAGCATTGTTTATGTATCTCAAAAACATAATTTATTGTTAAAATCTATTTATTTATAACAATTTTCAATTTTAATTCATCATGTTGAGAAAAAAGATAATAACAGGGTTACCCAAAAATAATGAGACTTCAAAGATGTCTGTTACCGTATATTCATGATCTCTGCAACTTCAAACTTTTTATTTTATGTTTTAAATAATTGATTAAGCCATCTATAGACTACATTCAAGACGACTTAATTTAAACTTGGGATCGTCATATTTGAGGAGTTTTAAGTCGTCTATACAGTCTCATCCTTTGTGGGTAACCCTGTATGGTAGAAAGAAGGAAGATAAACAGAATAAACAGTTAAACTCGTCTATTGGTTACACAGTATAGGAGGCCCTGAAAAAAACTTAGGAATAAAGCGACGATTATTAAATCATCTTTGTTAATTTGAGTCATGCGGATTTTTAACAACCTCAAAACTAATTTTTGCAATTGTAGAAGTTATCAAGCAACAGAAACGATCATTAAAATGTTTAGTTTTCAAAGTCTCCGCTAGTCTTAGAACACCAATTTGGAATGATCATTAGACGAAAGAACTTGTTGAATACAATTTTTTGACGTTTATTGATATTAAAAAATTAAATATTATCTTAGTATCGAGTTATGTTGGATTTTATATTTTTTTCCGTCATAGCTTCGGGAAATATTAATGATCTGATTAAATGTTTTCATTACAAATAAAAGACTTTTTCTTCGTCAAGCTGTTCGAAATACTGTACTAAATTTTTCACCAAAACGGGAAGAATGCCTAAAACCTTTGTGCTCTAGACTGACATTCAGTGCCAGGTTCGGAACTTTCGTCCCTTGACACTAACTCAACGCTTTCACTTTATAATCACTCTACCAAAATACTAAAAAGAAATAAAAATAAAAAATCATAAAAATTATATTAAAACATCCATCATGGCATGTACTGGAAGTACAAAATATTTCAGTACAACTATCTTTATCATCAAAACTATATAACTATCAATGCAAAATGTTTCAAAATAAAAACAAAGTCTTTTAAACAATTTTATGAAAACTTTATTATGTAGAATATATTTAAAATATTTAATATTAATAAATTATCATGTGTCTGGGTAAGAAAGTACGAATGGTCAAGAAAAGATGAAAATGGCAGCCGTAAACCAAAATGGCGGCGGTTTAGTAAACCAAAATTTCCCGCATTTAACGTATCCGAGAAAGAACGACCATTTGATAAATTTGCTCTATGCGTCTAAAATCAGATGAGACGCCTGGGTGTGTTTGTGTACACTGTGTAGTGTTGAGGTTAATCACAGTCTAACCAGGGTGCATTAGGGTTTGGGCAGTTTATTCCTTCCCAGCCGACTTCTGAGATAGAGTTTTTCTCAATTCCTCCTGAACATAAAACATTTAGAATTTATCCGATATCCAGGTCTCGATTATCTAATCAAAATCATGATAAAAATAATCCAAAGTCAATGATTTTATCAATTATCAATAACAAAATACAAAAAGCACCAAAGTCATGAAAAATCAGTAGATTAAAATCTATCAGATTCAGAAATTATCAACAAAATCGTAAAACAGATATTATTATCAACCAGAGACTAACACATATGTGTTTCAGATCTGTTCAGAACGCGTTTAGTAGGTTCCCTTTACCCCAATAGCTAATATATATATATCTTAGCTATAGCTGGCCAAACGGCTCGACCGAATGGGCTGAAATTTTTTGAGGGAACCCATGGGTCCCCGTGGAGTAACGTAGGCTAAAATTTGATTTTTTTCTTCAAAAATCGAAAATAATTCGAAAATAATTTTTTCCCCTTCAAAATTGAATTTTTTTTTCTACGGGCAACGCCGGGCACTTCAGCCAGTCATCTTAAGCGGATTTCCCCCGTTTCCACATAACTTTTACTTAATTTCTTCAATTTAAAAATTTACGCTATGGTTTAAGCTATATCCCAGCCAAAAGTTTTAATCTTAGATATCTTTCTTGTCATTATAAAAACTAGGATTTTTTTAAAAGGAATTTTTACCTGAAGGTCTTTGGTTTTCTTGGCCTCTGCAAGCGGTTGAACGGAACGAAGACCGTTAACGATATCCCTAGTTTTGCCAAAATAGATCTCGTTCAGGGTCATTCGGATCTTGTTCTCCATGTCCTCTATTAATCGACCTGAATCAAGTTTAACATGAAAAAGTTTCGATTTTTTTCGTTTAAAAGTTTCCAAAAAATCACACAAGGTTTTCTACAGTGATAACCAGAAAACTCTGGAAAAGTCGACTTTTAAACTCAAGTTATGACTTTTAATAGCGCACTGAACATGAGACACAGCAATTGTGCAACGTAAACAGACCCATTTTACCTAATATGTAATTTAATAACTTTCAAGTAAAGCTATTTGCGTTAAACAACAACAGAACACTTCAGAAATGCTATAATGTCGTCTATTTATTCTACAGTTTTCTGGTTATGACTGTATAAGCTCTATTGTCTTGAAAAAAAAACTTAACAGAATGTAAATTCTTAACTTTTATTTACGAGTAGGGAGGATGAAACAATCTTAAAAATTCTAAATTTAAGGTCTGCATACTTTTTCTTTCTCTCTCTGTTAGTCTGCTAATGTGATGGGTTCGGATCCAGTTACAAATATCACATTTCATTGAAAAAATTAAAAATTTCTAAACATTTTTAGCGCATTTTCCTTTTCAAATATCAATAATAATAATAATAATAATAATAATAATGCAGGTGTTTGTGGCATATTTTCTAGCTTCCTAAACACAAGTCCTGACAGTTGAATCGTGAAAACTAAGTAAAGAGTGTATACCTATATTTGCAATATGCGGGCTAGCTTCACTGACGGACGCATCCTGCTCAATCTGGCGAGTCAAGGATCCGCCGAGGTTCATGGTTCCGCTTCGAGGTTTGTTCGTCTGCAACCAGAGCATACAGGTAGAGGTCAGTTTGTAATGAGCACTTCGTCCGCTAGATTTCTCTTGAACCTCAACCACGTGGATAGAGTCCCAACATCCTTTGATCTTCTTGGAATCTCCATCTCCGGCTTTCTTGATTAATATCACACCTGAACAAAAGTTGCATGTTAAATGTTTTTCTTAATCGCGTAAATGTCGATTTAACAAAGCGCTTTATTTAATTTTCTTCCTTAAAAGAACTGTCGGCGTAAAAAAAATAACATTGCCTTCTAAGAGTTCCATGCCCGATTCACGGCCGTACTCAAAAGAATTTAATCTGGGCTAACATGAGGACGATATCGTTGTTATATATCTTGGAAAGAGATAAATTCTGTCCAATTCATTCATTGTCTATCTAGAGAATCCGCATTAGAAAAACTAGTTTAGGAAATCTTAATATTTTTTGCCGCAGGGAAATGTGCCTTCTGGAGGGTCACTTGGAATCACGTGGACGGAAGTTTGAGTGAAAATGCGAAATTAAAAGAACAATTTTAAAAATAAAAAGTATCAGTAAAATCTGTTCTCTTGATTCTTGTACCTGCAAACCCATGTTCTAGATCCCAAAGGTACACTGAGGACACTCCGCCCTCAAAGTACATCTCTCTATACTGATCGAAGGCGTTGTTCGCGTCTATTTCCAGTTTCCGGAGTCGATCCGAGGGCATAGCTCCATCCTCTAGCGGAGGTTCGTAATTATTACTCCAGGGAGATCTAGTATTGATAGATTTTATTAAATTTTTCAAGATATTGAGATGTCTCTTCTACTGAGCAAGAACGGATATCTCTACAGATGAGGAAGGACGGATATCTCTACTAATGAGTAAAGACGAATATCTCTACACTGAGCAAGGACGGATGTCTCTACTGATGAGAAAGGATGGATATTTCTACTAATGAGTAAGGACGGATATTTCTACTTATAAGTAAGAACGGATATCTCTACACTAAGTTAGGACGTATACATCTACTAATGACTGAGGACTGATATCTCTACTGCTGAGTCAGGACGGATATCTCTACTAATGAGCAAAGACGGATATTTCAACTGATGAGAAAGGACAGATATCTCTACTAATGAGCAAAGCCGGATATTTCAACTGATGAGAAAGGACGGATATCTCTAATAATGATTAAGGACTGATTTCTCTACTACTGATTAAGGACAAATATCTCCACTACTGAGCAATAACGGATACGTATTCTATGGTACAAGGACGTATATCTCTACTGACTAAAAAGAACGGATATTTCTACTGATGAGCAAGGACGGATATTTCTACTTATGAATAAGGACGGATATCTCTACTACTGAGCAAGGACGGATATCTCTACTGATGAGTAAGGACGGATATTTCTACTAATGAGTAAGGACGAATATTTCTACCAATGAGCAAAGATGAATATTTCTACTAATGAGTAAGGACAGAGATATCTACACTGAGTAAGGATGGATATCTCTACTACTGTTTCATGACAGATATTTCTTCTACTGAGTTAGGACGTATACCTCTACTAATGAGCAAGGACGGATATCTCTACTGATGAGAAAGGACGGATATCTCTAAAAATGAGTAAGAACGGAATCTCTCCTGGTAAATAAGGACGGATATCTCTATTTAGTAAGCACAGGTATCTCGACAGATAATTACGAACGGATATCGCTACTGATGAGCAAGGACTGATATCTCTACTAATAAGTAAGGACAGGTATCTGGACTGATGACTACGGACTGATATCTCTACTGATGAGTAAGGACGGGTATCTCTACTTTTAAGTAATAACGGATATCTCTCCTGGTAAATAAGGACGGATATCTCCACCACTGGGCAAGAACGGATATTTCTTCTACTGAACAAGGACGTATATCTCTACTGATAAATAAGAACGGATATTTCTACTCATGAGAAAGGACGGATATCTCTAACCTTGGCTCATGACAGATAATTCTTTTACTTAGTTAGGACCTATACCTCTACTAATGATTAAGAACGGATATCTCTACCACTGAGAAAGGACGGATATCTCTACCACTGAGAAAGGACGGATATCTCTACCACGGATTCAGAACGGATATCTCTACCACGGATTCAGAACGGATATCTCTACCAAGGATTCAGAACGGATATCTCTACCACGGATTCGGAACGGATATCTCTACCACGGATTCAGAACGGATATCTCTACCACCGAGTAAGGACGGATATCTCTACCACGGATTCAGAACGGATATCTCTACCACGGATTCAGAACGGATATCGCTGCTACCAAATAAGGACGGATATTTTTACAGCTAATTAAGAGTTGATTTCTCTTCTACTGAGTAAGAAAGAATTTCTCTTCTTTGCAAGGACGGACATTCTCTAAAACTTCTGACAATGAGTAAGGACGAGTATCTCTACTACCAAGTAAGGACGGATACCTATATGAATCTCCATCTCTATTATAATCACAAAGAAGATAATCCTTCCCAAACTGCTTGTCTCGGGCAATCTTTAATGGTTGATCCACCGAAGAGAGAAGATCCTCGCAAAGATCTGGAACTAGATCTATCAAATCAGAAAGATTTTTCTCTATTTGTTGAGGAGGCAACCGTCTCATCAGATCCAAGGCACAGTCCAGTTGCTGTTCCGACATTTTACTCTGAAATAATCAATATTATAACTAACCCCTAAATAATTATCATTTCTGTCAGATTGGAAACTATCTTATTACAGTCTGGCACTTGTGCTCTCTGTCAGTCTTCTCCACTGTAAATACAGAAAAATATACATTTACTGAAATTTAAACATATTATTCTCTTATTCAAGGGGTTTACAAACACTATCAACAATAAAGAGATAGAGAGGGAGTATTATTATTAAATAGTTAGTGACTCACTTACGCCCTTGCCCTATCTATCGGCACACACTTAAAAATCTTCCAAAATCAGAGACAAATTCAAACCTAAACCGAAATAACTCAGAATAGTCGTCTTTGAACTGTTATGAAGCTAAAACGTATATTTTCTTGTTTTCTTATGAAAAATAAAGAAATTAGTGTAAAACAAGAAAAAAAGGATAAACATTAGAAATATGAAGTTGTTACTTTGATTTAACTCGTACAAAATAGTTTTAAACTTTAAAGAGAAGACACCCATGGACGGATGTTGAAACCTTGAAACTTACAATAACTCCTGTATACGACTCTGCACCCTGAGTAGAGATAAACACTGGCGTCACAGCGCTGGAGCAAAAATAAATCCCAACTTTCTTAATTAGGGATAGAAGAATATAATGGGTGACGATGTAGCCCTGAAGGATGATAATATCCCACCAATCCAGGAAGAGCTATTTCGTCTTTATAGTCAGGGATACGTCACAGATATAACTCTAACCTGCGAGGACGGAAAAATATTTGAAGCTCACAAAGTTATTCTTTCTGCCAGATCAAACTATTTTTACAATTTAATCCCTAAGCTGAAAGGTGACCCTGTGATATTTTTAAAGGGTGTTAAGGGAATGTATTTAGAGAAGATATTAAAATATGTCTACAGTGGAACTGCAGTAGTTCCAAGAACACAGCTCAGATCACTGTTCGATGTGGCAAGATCACTGCAGATCAAAGGACTAGTTGAACTATCACAAACAGAGCTTGGTAAAGGTTTACCAGGAGCTGGATGCTCTAAGAACCTGACGCTGTCTCCCGCCAGTAATAAATCAGACCCTGATTCATTTAGATACAATCAGTCAACTAGAGAAGCCAGAGAAATAGCACTAAAACAACAGCAAAAACTTTATGATAAATTTAGCTCTAGTAATTACAAGAAACCCAGTGGTAGGGGTAGTCAAACCGAACCTGGCAAGACTCCAACCAAGAGAGGGAAAGGGAGTAAGGAACCAGAGAATCAGGATGAAGAATCATTCACTTTTAAGTACGAGCATATATCAGATGATAGTGACGATGTTGATAACGACGATGCTAACGATTCAGATTTTTACCTGCAAAATAAGAACGGACTAGGTGGAGGAGGAGCTAGTGGTAAATATTCATTGAAGAAAAGACGAGGCCGACCTCCCAAGTCAGGAAGTAGTAGAAAAGTATCCAAGTCTAGCAGTGAGGCTGAGTCTGATAGTTCTGATGATACTAATGATGAACCTGCGAAGAAAGACGATTTCTCCAACAGCAGTGAAAGTGACTCTGAGAGTGATAATAGCGATCTAGACTCGGAAGATACTGAAAGTGAGACCAAGGGTTCGGAAAGGACAAAGAAAAGCTATTCCCACTCCAAAAGAGAACCTAGTCTAAGTTTAGATGATTATTTAGAGTCTCCCAAGAGAACGTATCGCAGACCGTTAAAAGGACCTGAGGTCAATGGTCAGCATGTTTTAACTGTTCAATGCAAGGTTAGTGCAAATAAGCATGTCAGCCAATAATCTTAAAAGCATTTTTTATCTCAAGATGTTATTTATATTTGATAAAATAAATTATGATATTTTAATAAATAATAAAAGACAATGGTTAAATATGAATTTGAATAAAAATAAAAATGTAAAACTAATACTCCTATATATGGAAAATATATTTTAAATTTAACTAAATGAATAAATCAAAAACAAAAAGATATATTTGTATAGCCTCTTAATATTACTAAAAATAAACCATAATATTTTGCTTATAACAGTTACACCAGATATTACTAGGCTAAAAAATAGTTTAGAGAAGTTGAACATTTTCTGAGTCGGGCAATTTAGTGTTTATTAACAGTAAGTGGTTGCAGGATTGTCAATTTAGTGTTTATTAACAGTAAGTGGTTGTAGGATTGTCAATTTAGTGTTTATTAACAGCAAGTGGTTGTAGGATTGGCAATTTAGTGTTTATTAACAGTAAGTGGTTGTAGGATTGTCAATTTAGTGTTTATTAACAGTAAGTGGTTGTAGGATTGTCAATTTAGTGTTTATTAACAGTAAGTGGTTGTAGGATTGTAAGAATAATTTTAAGTGACCCTCCAGGCAACGATGGCAATGCCCATTTCACAACGGTATCCTTGGGGAACCGTTATCTGATAAATAATGTGGAAGATATTTTCGTTTTTCTAGGTTTTACAATGTTAATTCTGACAATTCATAACTGTTTTCCTGTAGCAGAAACGCGCACGTCACTTTTGTAGAGAACTCGCAATTAAAATTAATCAGTTTTCTAAACTATAAACCAGACCTTAGGATCCATTTAATGTTGATGCGGATCCGGATCCTGGATCCGCACTGGAAAAATGGATCCGGATCCAGGTCATCCAGATTTACTGAATTTTTTTTAACCCTATTCCCGCTGGGGGGGGGTCAATTTGACCCCCCACCCTGTAGTTTTTTTTACATAACTCAAAAAGTATTGCTCTGAGGCTGTTGAAATTTTCTGACTTTTCTTACATACCCAAAGCCCTCCCTTTAGGCCTAAAACCGGGCTTTAATACTAACTGCCTGAGTCCTCAGGCACACTGCCTGAATGACTGTTTTTGCCTGTAACAAACTAAATCTTTGTTTTCACCCACTTTCACTTATCAGATTTTGATAAAATTTAGCTTTTTGGAAAGCCTATGACATAAGGAAACGGATTGCACAAGTTTTGCGAAAAAAAATTGCAAATTTTTTGCAAACAACCTGTCAAAGGAAATTTGCACATTTTTAGTTTTTCTTGATTAAAAATCAGGTTATTTAAAATTTTGCAAAAATTTTTGCATATTTGAAATGGCATGGTCAAGGGCTTTTCAAAAATGTATAATTTGTCATTTTTTGGACAAATTTTTTTTGCAAACATTTTTACTGTAAAACTGAATTTTGCGATAAAAAATTCAATTTTCGCAAATTTGCAAATTTTTTTGCAGATTCTAAAAGTAGAGCACAAGAGCTTTCTAATGATGTATCATTTGTCATATTTGGACATAAAACATGGGATTTAGAGGGGGGGGGGGCAAATTGACCCCCCCCCCCAGCGTATCCTGGTTTTTAGTACCCCAGCAGGGATAGGGTTAACAAAAAATAATTTAAAATTTTTTGTTTAATTTTTTTTTCGCTTATTTTTATCCTAAACTTGATTAACCATTCAGAAATGTGGAGTTTTTAAAATCTCTCTTTTTTCAAAAGTTCAGATTTGGGTTTTAGGAGTAAAGAGTATTTTTTGTAGTTTTTGGTTGATATTTTACCCCTTGGATCCGGATCCAGAAAGCCCAAATCTTGCGGATCCTAAGCACTGCTATAAACAATATCATATAATTTTATATTTTATCAGAAAAAGGTTTTAGGGGTACCGTTATGAATCGGGTATTGCCATCTTTGCATGGAGGGTAACTTGAAAAGACACTTTTATTACCTTTAAGAATGGATAGAATTACTTAATTTCATTTCTCTTTGCGGTTTAACCAACAATTAACTCACCATGGGATTAAAATTAGATTAACCAAATCCATCTTTTTAATAGTTTCCAGCTCTGATAGTTTTAAGTTAAATATTGTTTAGGGTAAGCGAGCTGAACTCCATCTTGCCAGGTTCTGTAATGGAGCCAAAGGGAAGAGTGTTCTCTACAAGAACTCATGGATAACTCCAGATGATTATGAAAAAGTAAAATTTGTTAAAATATAAATTAAGAAAAAATTTATTAAAAAAAAATAATTCATAAGTAAAAAATTGGTACCAATATGTACAATTTTTGGAAGGGTCATGCTTTATGCTTTCTGAATAGTAACCATACCATTGATTTTTAACTTACGATAAAAAAAACAGAGTTTGAAAGTTTTTTAACTACGTCTTTTTCTTTCAATTTTTTATTTCCTTTTTAGGCGTGTGGAAGTAAATCTAAAAAATATTTGGATTCTATCACTACAGATTATGGTCCTCTGAAAACATTAACTGTATCAGGTATTAATAAAAACAAGAACAAACATTTTTAAGATTTAGAGTTGATTTTTTTTAGTTTTCTAATATTTAAGGTTTATTGGCATAAAAGAAGCTCAATATACAAAAATATTGAATGTTTTCATTTTACAAAATTATGATACATCTTATGGTGTCTTTGTAAAAAATCTCCATGTTTTTGAAAATTGAGGATGCATAACTATAAATTTGTTTATTTTCAGGATTTTTGAAACCCCATGCAAGAAAATGTAAATGTAACGTATGCAATGATGAAGAACCTGAGATATCCTCTAAGGTTTCAAAAGACTCGAAAGATGAAACCTCAGCTAAACCAACTAAAAGCATTCCAGAACAGAAGACAACCGATTTAACGAATAAGGACTCTGACAGTCCTCAGACCAAACGGAGGAAGGTTGAACTGTCGGATAATAGTAGTAAACATAAACTCCGAACTACGGAGGATACTCCAGTAGATCCTGTCACAACCCCAGTTAGTTTAACCAATGAGGATCAGACTAAGATCAAGGATAATAAGGACGGAATGACTCCGAAACCTCCTCCACAAATCAATTCTCCTGTAAAGTCTCAGCCCGGTAAGATTGGTGAAATATTGAGTCCTCCTACCTTAACAACAACTAAAACTACAACATCGGCTCTGACAACATCTTTATCTAGTATCTCAACCTTCTCCCCGTCCTCGGCCAGTTCCCTTTCTCCCACCTTCATCAGTCTTTCTTCTGCTGGAGTTCCCCAAATTAATTCTAAAACCTCTCTAGGCTCATCTATGATTCCCTTCCCCTCCAAACTGAGTGGAATTCCTTCTCCTAGCGGTAGTTCTAGTAACCTTCAGCGGCCTATGCAGTCATCAACCCATCTAGGGTACATGGGGACAAGTAACTCCATACAGACCTGCGCACCCAATCAACAGATACAGGCAGTAAAACAAGAAATGAAGATGTCTCAACCCCAGCCAGTGATGAAACCCCAGACTCCAGTTCATGTTAGTATTCCAATCAGTCAGCAACAACCTTCTCCCTACCAGGTTCAGAAGTCTAGGATAGGAGCTGTGATGCAGGTGAGGTGCAAGGCTATTGCTGCCTACTTGTATGTAAGCAAGTATGAGTCAGGATCTAAGGGGAAGTGTATACTACTAGGAGATGAATGGTTAACCCCAAATGAGTTTGAGGAGAAATCCGGGAGTAAAGCTAAGAAATACCTGTCTAGTATAAAGTGTCTAGGTAGACCCTTGAGAGCTTATGTGAACAGTGGAGAGTTGAGAGGATCTAATCCTCCTCCTACTCCTAAACCTCAGAGGCTGACTAAACCTAAACCTCCGCAAGCAATTGCTCCAGCTCCAGGTCCTAGCCAGCTCCCAGGACAGCTCAGCATGTCACAACTCGGACTATCTCCGCAAGGAATGTCACCTGCTCACCTATCCCAGTCCTTGACCCCGGTAGCTATGATGGGAAGCGTGTCTATGTCCGGTCAGCCAATTCTCATCAATCAATCAAGCTTTTCTGTAGCGAACTCCAGTATGGGAAACCCAATCCTCACCCCCATGACCTTTACGCTGGCCCCGATGACGAATATTGATGTGCGACAGAGTATGCAGCAGCAACAACATCAACACATGCACGGCGGTCAGCATATGTGACCCGAACCCCCCGAGAAGTTTCTTCTAGGATTATGAACTTCTTTTCATCCGTCCTCACACTGCCTAGGCCTTCTTGTGATACACATTCTGTTACATTAGATAATATTCATTCAAAATCTCAAAAACAGCTTTTGGGTAACGAAATCTCAAGTTTAATTTGCCTAAATTGTATGCAAAAAAGTTAAATCTGATGCAATTTTAAGTTTTTATATACTCTCAAATGTCTTAGTACACGTGTAGATATGCACTCACATTCATATAATGGTTGATAGACAAATATTTGAAAAAGAGAAGACCCTTAAATCCGAAGTCTAACTTCGTTTATCACAATTATTGTTCGCGTTCTACAGTTGATAAATGGAATAATTAGTATTTTACAGTTTATGTTGCCTTAATATAAAAGTTTAATAAATATAATTTACGAGAATAACAGACAAAAGTATGAGAGATTTTAATAAACATTTGTGTTTAAAGACAACAGTCGCACCATAGGGAGGATAAAGTAGGATATATCAAATAAGAAGAATATGAGGTATAGGACTGGATGTAGGATATATTAAATAAGAAGAAGATGAGGTATAGGACTAGATGTAGGATATATTAAATAAGAAGAAGATGAGGTATAGGACTGGATGTAGGATACATTAAATAAGAAGAAGATGAGGTATAGGACTGGATGTAGGATACATTAAATAAGAAGAAGATGAGGTATAGGACTAGATGTAGGATATATCAAATAAGAAGAAGATGGGGTATAGGACTGGATGTAGGATATATTAAATAAGAAGAAGATGAGGTATAGGACTGGATGTAGGATGTATTAAATAAGTAGAAGATGAGGTATAGGACTAGATGTAGGATACATTAAATAAGAAGAAGATGAGGTAGGTATAGGACTAGATGTAGGATATATTAAATAAGAAGAAGAATAGGTATAGAACTGGATGTAGGATATATTAAATAAGAAGATGGGGTATAGGACTAGATGTAGGATATATTAAATAAGTAGAAGATGAGGTATAGGACTAGATGTGGGATATATTAAATAAGAAGAAGATGAGGTATAGGACTAGATGTAGGATATACTAAATAAGAAGAAGATGAGGTATAGGACTGGATGTAGGATATATTAAATAAGATGAGGTATAGGACTAGATGTAGGATATAATAAATAAGTAGAAGTTGAGGTATAGGACTAGATGTAGGATATATTAAATAAGAAGAAGATGAGGTATAGGACTAGATGTAGGATATATTAAATAAGAAGAAGATGGGGTATAGGACTGGATGTAGGATATATTAAATAAGAAGAAGATGAGGTATAGGACTAGATGTAGGATATATTAAATAAGTAGAAGATGAGGTATAGGACTAGATGTAGGATGCATCTCGTCAAATTTCTTGAACTGTTGAGCTGCAAGGTTTCTCTCCTCTGTGAGAACCAAAGTGTGATAAATCCGTGCTTGCAGATATAAACAATCCTTAACCCTGACAAAAAAAAAAATATTTTTAAAATATATAAAAAATAATCTAAAATTATTCTAAAAATATGAAAAAAATGATTCATGCACAATTCTCAGCAAAGGGGCTTCAAACAAAACTTTGTGTAACTATTAAAAAAAACGTTTTAAAAGCTCCGTTAATTTAACAAAATTCCAAAATACCTAAGGCTTTTTAATAACTGGTTTCTTCCGATAACTTAAAACAGTCTTGATGACAGGACTTAATATGACAAATGTGGTTTAAATCTGAAGTCTGACTGGCACCATTGCAAAGTGTATTATCGGGGAAAGTTATTTGAAATGAACCCTAACCTGTCCCAATCATTGATCTGGATAAACCCTTCCTTGGCTCGTCCAACATGCTCAGCTCCCTCCAGGAGTTCCATCCTCCTCTGTACAGGAACTAGGTCTGAGCTAGCAGCAACCTTGCACTTAGCTAACATCAACAACCCCCTGGACAAGTTAAATTAAATCAGAGTTTTATGGAAGTCTTATTTCCACATTCCTGATATACAAGTTTAACAGTTAAAAAAGACGATGAATCAACAATTTTTAACAAATGCCATTAAAAAGTTTAACCGAAAATATGTTACCTGCTCCTATCTCTCTTGGTACCATGAGCTAGTAAATATGTCAGACAATGTTTAACCAGCTGTAGAGCTCTAGCTGTACAACCCAGGGTTAGCTGGTTGTTAGCTATCTGTAGACAGATAAGACAGTGGAGATACTCCAGTCTATACTTAGCAGACAGGGACTCAGCAGCTAGCAAGTGTTCTATAGATCCTCCTGAATATACAGTCAATTGTTTTTGTTCTTGCTTAAACTTGATGAATCAGTCAGAGATAGTAAATCTTTTATTCTCTCTTTTTTCAACAGTTCAGAATTGGAGGTTGAGAGTAAATAGTTTTATTTTTGCAGTTTTTGGTTGATAATTTGCCCCTTGGATCCGGATCCGTGGATCCGAATATTTTGGCGGATCCACGAAGACAAAATTTTGCGGAATATAATATATACACTATACAGGGTGTAAAAAAGAAATCAATATGTATAAGGTGTATAAATAAAAATTAATGAATGAATTAATTTAAACCATTTAAAATACATTTACAGATATTTTATAACTACGCCACGCTTGGATGAGATACTTTCTAGAAATAATCTTTTTTGTTATGAAAATAAAAATGAAAAAAGTTTTGACTTTTCTTGGTTAAGAATATAGAATAGTTAGTTCCACACTCACAATATTTTCAATATAACTGAACAGATAGTACCTAGATCATTGCAGGCTGTCTGAATATCAGAAAGGATAATCAAGGCTCGGACCAAGGTTTCTTTACTAAGGGTACAGGTAGAAGCAGGCCTGCTCATATCAACCTTGGAGTAGGATGAAACTATGGTTTTGAGAATATCCCTCGATTGCTCCAGGTTTCCCTGTTTAAAGAGAAGTTCAGCTTTGTAAAGATCAAACTCTGGAATGTTTGAGAAGAGAAGATCTAGCGCGCTCCCTGCCTGAACCCAGTTCCCAGACAGGAGAGCGCGTGCAAACTCTATTCTTTCACGCGCTGTTTTCCAAACCTAAAATATTATTGAATTAAATAAACTTTTTCATATGGTCTGTAAGCATAATTTCAAGTGACCTACGAGCAAAGTTGGCGATGCCGGATTCTCAAGGGTACCTTTGAAACCCTTAGCTAATCAATGGTTTTGAAGATAATGTTGTTTTTCTAGACTTAAAAGTAAAAATGCGCAAGTCCGTTTTGTAGAGAAACCACAGTTGAAAATAATCGGGTTTCAAAATTATATACATTGAAATCTAATTCATGCTTAATCAGACAAAGGATTCTTTTGTAAATTGGACATTGTCATATTTGCACGTTCAGGGAGTGCCACTTGAAATACGCTTACAGTCCCTTTAGATCTAAATAACGGTTTTTTTCTTTTTAAAACTCGATTCTTTTACCGACAGATTCCATAATTTGAAAGATTGATAACTATTTCAGGAAAATAAGGAACAGGAAGTATCCAAGTTTAAATAACTAAGAATTATATTCAAATAAAATTAGACTTTTATGGAAATGACTTTACAAAACGAGAATTGGAGTCAGTCTTGTTATGAATCGTTATAAAATCTTTTTAGGTTGTCAATTTATTACAGAGCGTCTCCAAGCTTTAACGCCAAATTACGCACAGAATTTTCAACCCAGAAATGGATCGTTGGAAAATTTCCATATTTATGATATCAAGGAGTGGATTTTGAAGTTATAAATCTAACAAACCTTTGAGTATTGAGAGGTAGGACAGGGAAACAGTTTTGCACAAGTTTTAATAAGTGTATCCGCTTCAGTTCTGTATCCTTCCTGCTCTAGGCTTAGAGCTGTATTCACTAGTCCTAGCACCGTACACTCTCCTAGTACAGTGGGATATAGTTAGAATTGATGCAAATTAAAACGGAACGAAAAATGGGTCTATCAAAACCTAATGCTACTTTAATATCTTTCTAGACATTAATAACTTTTATCAGATTGCTTTTTAATTATTGAAAATGTCCATAATATTCCTTTTCTCTTAATTTAACGCTTGAAGACTATAAACATCTACAAGATTAATGAGTTACATGAAACAGATATCTTCATAAAACGTGTTGAATTCTACAAGATTAATGAGTTACATGAAACAGATATCTTCATAAAACGTGTTGAATTCTACGAGTTCTTTATTGCAGCCAAAATTAGAAACTAACTTAAATAGAGAAACTACAGTAAAAAATAATAATTTTTTAGTTAGAAATTCAAGGATATCTCATTTATAATTGATAAGACAAATGGTTTCAGGGTGGACAAATCGATGATCACTAAAAGTTTATTTTCTCCCTTTTTACTACTGAATGGATTGAACCCACCTTGATAGTTGATTCCATCTTTGTTGTTCTCCGTTGAGTTGAGCTGTAGGAGAAGTTGATTCACGGTCTGTGACATCATAGGTCGGCCCCAGGACGCCCAGACATTACTCCGAACCAAAAAGGAGTTCGTCTGTAACTCCATCAGGTTGTGTTTACAATTAATCACAGCGCTACGTGTCAGGACGTCTAGAATGTATCCGGGTCTGTCTCCGAACTCATCTACGTGTTTACAGAGAGAAAGCATGCCAAGACTCGCGAGGTATAGAAGAGAAAGCTTTTCACACTTAGATATACTCCGCTGGAGCAGAGCTATACTATCTCCAGGAGAAACTCTTGTTAACCAGGATAATGCATGCTGTAGTGCAGCATGATCCTTAGCCTCTTGTCCTATTGCTATCGCCTCTTTCACCGCCGCTAGAGACTCTGAGTTGTGTCCGAACCTAGCGTGGAGAGAGGCAAGGTTTAGATCCGCGTACCGGAAACTCTTCCTTGAATCCTCTAACGAGAGTTTAGAGTTGGTTGAAGAGAGGATATGATTTGATGCAGCGAACAAACTGTCTACAGCTCCCACAAATTCCTGCATACGGAGAGAGTTTAAGTAGGAGAGGAAGTACGCCTCAGAAAGACCTGAAACACAATCTTTTTTGTCTTAACTATCGCAATACTGATTTCTAGGCTTGTTTTAACTATCATAATCCTTGAACCTGGGTTGGTTAGAACTATCTTAATGCTTGTACCCGGTTGCTCTATCTGTTCTTGATATCTAGAGCTATCACAATCCTTGTAACCCGGTTGTTCTATTTGTCCTTGTATCTGGGTTGGGTGGAAATATCACAATCCTTGTAACCCGGTTATTCTATCTGTCCTTGTATCTGGGTTGGGTGGAAATATCACAATACTTGTAACCCGGTTGTTCTATCTGTCCTTGTATCTGGGTTGGGTGGAACTTTCACAATCCTTGTAACCCAGTTGTTCTATCTGTCTTGGGTGTAACAATCATAATCATAGGACCTGGGTTGGGTTTAACTATCATCGTCCTTGCACCTGGTTGGGTTTGACTATCAAGATCCGTAAATCTGTGTTGGTTCTGACTATTGACTTTCATAATCTTTGTACTTTGGATGCCTTTGACCATCATAAATCTTGTGCTTACTGCTTGGATTGGCTTTGACTATCTTAATCCTTGAACCTGGTTTTAACTATTATCAAATTGTACCTGGCTTGGCTAAATAACTAACATAAACTTAATACCTAGCTTGACTTAATGACTATCATAAACTCTATACCTGGATTGGTTTTAACTATCACATTTAGTTCCCGCTGTAGCTCCAATGGGCTCAATGCGTGTCCTTCTGAATGTTGGATGAGATTTGCCTGACGAGCAATAAACAGGTCGGCCTGTCGTCTCGTCATTAGTTTCGTCTCTTCCTTCGTCTCTAGAGATCTATAGTCCGACGGCAGAGCTGTTGGGAGATTATAATCGTCCAGAGATAAGTCCAGTTCACAGTCAGAATCATTATTTCCTTCTAAAACAATAAGAAAAAGATTACTACGCACTAGGCAGTCTCATAAAAGAGTTTTATTCCGGGAAAAATTAGTCCTCACATTTGTCGAAAATCAGTCTATATTTGTCAAAAATCAGTCCTCCCATTTGTCGAAAATCAGTCCATATTTGTCGAAAATCAGTCATCCCATTTATCGAAAATCAGTCCTCAGTTGTCAAAAATCAGTCCTCCCATTTGCCGACAATCAGTACATATTTGTCGAAAATCAGTCCTCCCATTTATCAAAAATCAGTCAATATTTGTCAAAAATCAGTTCTCCGTTTAGTCAAAAATCACTCCTGCCATTTGTATAAATTCATTCCTCAGTTGTTGTTTGAATCATGTTTTTTCTCTCCAAAACTTTAGATATTATTTGATTCTGGAATAGCTTACATCCAAATCCTATGTTACCTTGAACCAGATTATTTAATATCTCCGACCCTGTGGAGAAGTACGAGGAGAACAGTATATGTAGAGTTGAAACCTGACTAAACATTTTATACTTTGAAAATGGTGTTTCCTAAACACAATATTCTTGTGAAAAATACCTTGAAAACCTAACTAAATGAATCAAAATAAGTACAACCATAACCAAAGATTGAAAGATGGTTCAAAGAACCTTTTTATAAACTGACAGGGTTACCCTAATAGAATGAGACTTCCATGAACACCTTTAATTATTATAATGTGAAATTTAAACATGGGTTATCTGATAATAATCTTTTCAGGTGGATTTTAATGATTTTGTAAATAAATAAAGAAGTTAAGCGTGGGAAAAAATTTCACACAGTCGTCCTTGAACGTCTCATACTTTGTGGGTAACCCTGTAGAAACTAACAAATGCAATCCTTTTTTAAACCAAAACCAAAATAAACCCAATCAAAGTACAACAAATACAGTAAGACCTGTAAAATGTGAGATAGGAAAACGATAATTAAACAATCTCTGTGTATTTTATGTGTTATAAGCAAACTAATATTTTTACTGCACAATTGCTGCGGTTTACTGATGATGTAAAGAGTAATACATGGTTTGATATTGTCGGATCAGGGGAACATAGACTAACTCGTCTAACTGCAGATCCACTAAATCTGATGCCCACGCGATCTAGACTGAAATTGAGAGCCAATTTTTTTAGTCAAAGAGTAGTGAATTTATGAAACAGTTTGCCGGGAGAAGTTAAAAACGCTAGAAATCCTACAATGTTTAAAATCAATTACCACTGATATGCTCTACGCAGAAATTCTTAACATGCCCCTAACTGGGGTCTAGAGATTAATTCACCAAATAACCAAATAACCAAAATCGTATCAATGTTTGCCTGAAAGACATTTTATCAAACTGAAGATAAACTCGTCGGAGAAGAACTCCGACTAGAGATATCTTATTGAGAACCTTGGCGTCAAGGATTAACTTCTCTACAGCCTAAATCAGGAGATCCGTTCAAATAATAATTTTTTTTTTTTTTGGGGGGGGGCGGGTAATTTATCATCAACTTTTTCCCTCTCTTATCCGTTTTTTCCCTAGGTTTTTAAATCCGTCTTTTATAAAAAAATATAATTATTAGAGGAAAACAGAGTTTTTTGGAAAAAGTTTTCAAAACGGGTGAAAAAAGTTTAAATTAGAACACGTATCCAAAAAAGGGAATATTTCACTATAATTAGAAGGAATGTAATATGTGTAGTAAAAAAGATATTAAGCCAAAAATCAAAATTAATTGCATATTCATTATACAACCTAGAAATCCATGAAATAAATTCACTATTTGAAGAGACTAAATCCCTGCCTGGAACAGATCCATGAGCCCTGCAATCCCCTTCTCCTGAATCCCTATCAGCCTGGTTGCCCAGCATGCGAGTAGAGGTCGTGGAACACTAGGAATCAGGCGCTGGCAGGTAGATTTCAGGTTCTCATCCGGAAACTGGATTAGGTTCAACAGGAATAAACAGATCCGGGTCTTATCACTTGGATCCAGGCTGTGCGGCTGAAACAAATATACTTTTTGAAAAGTTAATCTGAAGGTTTTGAGGTAAGAGAGAGATCACATGTAAGGAATTACCCAACAAAGCAAGAAAACCTAGTAATTGGAAGGATCCTGTAGTTAAGAAACAAATTCTTATGCGTCCAAGATATGAGATAGTAAGATGTCTTCATTTAAGCATGAAATATCATCATAAATCCCCAAAAGTCGCTTAAAACGGTAATTTGATAAGTTTATTTTAAAAACTATTTCTTACTCTTTTAGGTTGCAGATACTCCAGTATAAACGCTAGTGTTGAGATCCTGTGCGGAGTAACCTGCTCCGGGATACAGGTCGGAGCAGGACCCGGAGCAGGGATCCGATCCACGGGGATAGGATGCTGCTCTGCTCCAGGATGGTTTCCCTCGTTGTTCGGCATCTTTATCTTTAGAACATCTGAAACTTTAGTAATACATGGAAAACAAATTGTAAAAGTACCTAAAACCTATAAAAATTTGTAAATTTATTAAATGTGGATTTATATTTATGAACTATGTGGTTGGTAGGGAGGAGGAGGCAGGAGGTATGATTGATTGATTATTTAAAAAAAACGAATTCTTTGAATGCTCTGAGTTCGTCTGTTCTGTCGATACATCGTCGGCCAACCGGTTCCAAATCGGTATAACATCTAAATAATTTAATTTAAAAACAAAGTCTATTCACTATTTTGAAATATTTTTTATCCTCAATCGACATTTAAAAAGATTCAGTTAATACAAATATATAAATTTCACCGAAGATATATATTTTAGGTAAAAAATAAACAAATATGTATTTTATTAGTTTATAAAAATTATTGACGCACAAGATACATATACATCAAATTGTGTAGTTTAAATTTGCTAAGAATGCAACTAACCTTGCGAAAACTTTGTCGACAGTTTTAGTCGCGGTTTGTTTGTCGACTCCTGCAATAACAACAACTGATCTGGTTGCTCTGTCCTTGACACATACTTCATGCTGGTTCCGTAACCCTATACTAGGAGAACAGGGATATTGAAAGTAGGAGTAATTATTTCTCAGAAAATCCCACCCACTCCCTTGTTTATTTCTTTAAATGAAACCCCTGAGGCCGAATTTAAAGAATTAGAGCGCGACTTAAATTTAAGCCGTGGCTCAAATATTGTTGGGTCACTTATAATTGTATTCAATGTTTCAAGATTTAAGCCGCGGCTCAATTGAAACCGGTTTTTGGCGGATTTAAGTCGCAGCTCAAATTCATTAAATTCGGACACTGGATATTTTATTCCAACAAAAAAAATAATTTTGTTAATTTAAAAAATAACAATCTTCATTATTTTATCTCGAGTCCTTCCCTAGCTTCCCCCTTGAGAAGGGGGGTTAATGGTTCTCTGCAGTCTGCTAGATTTGCTGCTCTAACCTGTGCTCGTAGGAAACCAGTTAATGTTTCTAGATTTTTAACCTCTTATTATTGTTATTATTATTAACTGTCAACCTGCATACAATGTATCTACAATACAATAAAAACAGGGTTGAACTCCACCACTTCCCTACATGGGATCAAGTGGTTCAGGTCTGACCTGAATTTTAGATTTTTAGCCCCTTTAGACATTATTTGCAGCAATTCATTAAAATTAAAAATATTTTGTTTTACTAAGAACTTGACTCACATATTAAAGACACAATTTATATATAAAGGTTTCCTCCCTCTGTACACGCCAAGTGTTCAATCTGACTGAAATCAATTTGTGCAGTACAGTAGTCGTACATGTGTACAAGCTCGTGACTCAGTGTTCGATTTACTCTCTCAAAATCCTGAACAAGTAAATTCAACTTCAACTTCAACTTCAACTTCAACTTCAACTTCAACTTCAACTTCAACTTCAACTTCAACTTCAACTTCAACTTCAACTTCAATTTCAACTTCAAATCAAATCCAATTTTACCCAATGGACTCCACCCGAGTGACGAATTCCCCAGTTACATTTCCCCAACATCAATATCTCTAATTCTGGTACATTTCCCTAATGCAATGATAGCTCGAGAAATTGTGAGGGGAAACGCCGGGATAAATTTGGGAAGTGTGTGTGTGTGTGTGTGGAAGTGTGTGTGTGTGGAAGAAAAATAGGAAATTTCACGAAATTAACTGTATTAATGTATCTACGAGGTGTGTTTGATCAAGAATACGAATTATATTGGAATTTCTTTATTTAATGGAGAATTTCCGTGATTAATAGCTTATTGGAAAGGAAGAGTTGTTAGCGTTTGATTGCATTTGTTGGCCGGGGTACCCTGATTTGGTTCTACTCAATTGACGGTGGAAAACTGAGTTTTTTACTCAGCAGATTGTTTTATAATGCAATCAAACACTAACAACTTTCCTTTCCAACAAGCTATCAATCACGGAAATTCTCCAATAAAGAAATTCCAATATAATTCGTATTCTTGATCAAACACACCTTGTACCTACCCTGCAGTATCCTGTACAAAGAACTATCTGATTGGTTTCCCGGTCAAATCCTCCCGCTAATCCAGGTTGACATTTCTCACAGCTCACGTGTCTAATCGATAGGTTTAAACTCAAATACGGAGTTGGAAACTTCTAAGCTTAAACTTGAGCTTAGCTTTAAAATTCGAAATACTGGAATATTAGATGACTTTTTATTGGTTGAAAATATTCTGCCTCTCGTTGGTGAAATCTCTGAATGTTCATCAGTCAGAAACTGATCTTAAAAGGGTTAAATCGGATTATATTTAAGGAATGAGATAAGCTTGTTCCGTATATTCAAAAGTTCCCGGATTGTGAGACCATTGACTTTATATAAGATTGAACAATACTACGTTTTTTGTTTGTTTATATCCATCCCTTGATATATTAAAGTTGCATCCTGCCCGACTCATCGCAGATAAAAGGAGAGAGATCATAGGAGATGATTTAATTACGGAAACCAATAATCTTTCACAGTTCTCCTCATCTTCTTGGACAGCTGTTTTAGGAGCGACCACCATTTTAAATCTAAAAAAATGGCAATAAATAAAACTTTTCATAAGTAGGAACCATGGAGAGAGACTCGATATACATGACTTTAAAATATCACACAGGAAAATATAATTTTCGAAAATATAAAATAAGTTTGAACTGTTTGTATAAAAATGGGAGGTTTTAGAATGAATATTTAAACGCTTCTGTTCTTCTTTTCATTCTCCTCGAACTCTAGGGCCTTGGCGAACCCTCGTCTGATGATGGAGTCCGGAAGGCCGGCCAACTTGGCCGCGTTGAAACCATGGGACTTGGGACAGGGTCCGTCCACGAGCTTGTACAGGAAAGTGATCGTCTCTTGGGTGATGTCCTCGTGGCCCTCGTTCTCCACCATGCAGGCCATGTGAGCGGAGAACACGTTCTTGGTCTGCTCCAGGTCCAAGCTGTGGTAGTGGGTGGCAAACAGGGTTCTACAGCCACGTTTAGCCAGGGCTGTCACAACGGCACCAGCAATGGCAGTTCCATCTATTCGAAAAATAAAATTAAAAATAAATAAAATAAAATTTAGCAAATAAATATAATTATGTTAAACTCAATAAAGCATCCATTATATACTGCTTCAAAAGATGACAGCCAAGTTCAAATCAATATTTTACCGTATGTAGCTGTTCCACGACCCAGCTCATCAATAAGAACAAGAGAGTGTTGACTGGCGTGCTGGAGAATTGTGCTCGTCTCCTAAAAATATATATATTAGATATCTCATCAGTAACCTAATAATCTAACAAAGAAATTAAATAACTAGTTAACCTGAACCAGAAAATAGTTCAATCGTGGTTCAGTAGAACTATGTTTATGTTTATTTGAACTCCTAGCCTTAGCGCTCGGCCCCCTACCCTGTTCTAGCCGCAGCCAAGAAACTGTCTTAACCTACCCTAACCATGAAGTAATACAATTTCTTGTTCACTTGAACATAAAATTAGTTCAACTGAACCAAAAAATAGTTCAAATGTATGTATATTCAGGGTTTGGTTAGGTTAAGACACTTTCTGGGCCGAGCGCTGCGGCTAGTAGTTTAAATAACCATAAAAAATAGTTCAAATAAACCAAATATAGTCTCAATGAATTGTTTAAATAAACAAACTATTTGTAATTTTCTTCTTTTATAGATTTGTGATTATATCTTTTGTGACTTATATATTTTGTAACTTATCTATTTTGTAAGTATTTGTTTTATAAGTATATGTTGTGTTTATATATATTTTATAATTATATCTTATTTTACTGAGCCGAAAAAGACAAGGACTTTGACAAAGGAAAGGACTAGGACAAGGAAAATGACTAGGACAAGGACAAGGAAAACGACTATGTAAAGAAATATGACAAGGAAAAGGAAAACGAGTAGGACAAGAAATATGACAAGGAGAAGTAAAAGGACTAGGTCGAGGAAAAGGGAAAAGCTGAAATTAGAACAAGGCAAATTTAGTCACCTGCATCTCTACAAGGAATGTACTCTCTCCTCCTATAATATTATCCTGAGCTCCCAACCTAGTAAAGATACGATCTACTGGAGTCAAGGTCATCTCTGAGGCCGGAACCTGGCAACCTATCTGAGCCAGGATAACGAGCAGACCAGTCTGTCGCATCAGGGTAGATTTACCACCCATATTAGGTCCTGATAAATTGTAAAATTTATTTAAGTATGTGAAAAATGAATCACAAAGGCAATAGTTAAAAGAAAAGAATTTTGTTGTATTGAAAAATATGTTCTGCTTCTTTTTATCTTTAAAAGAAATACAAAAACTAGTTGAACTAGGCTGTTACCGGTTAAAATGATGAGAGTTCTGTCTCCTCCCAGCAAAGTATCATTAGGTATAAACGCCTCTCCTTTAAGATCTAAGCAGGGATGACTCCCCTCCTTGATATCTATAGACTGGGACGCATCCTCGGATATCTCCGGGAAGCAACTAGTCTCCAGACTACTACTATATCCTGCTAGGCCGAGTAAACTATCCAGGAGAGAGATGCAACCAATAGCTTTCCTCAGGATATTCGCGTGCTTGGAGAACTGGAAGAACATCTTCCTCTGGATATCTTGAAGAGCTGCTTCTTTACAAGCTTCTCCGGCCTGCTGACGGAGCAGAAACTCCTTCGTCTCCTCCGTGACGTACCTCTTGACCTTCTTGGTCCCGCTGGCGAGGGTGTACTCCTCCCCTGCCTTCTTTACACGCTCTACAGGAATCTCAAGCTGATACCTAAATCGGAAATCCACCAAACATTTTAGATAAGCTAGTATGAGAAAATATTGAATTGAAAAAACTGTTAAATATTAAATACCTGTTTTTTCCAGTTCCCCAATACTTGACTTCGCATCCGAAATGTGTTTTTTGCTCCTTCAAGTACACATCCATCTCCTTCTTGATCTGCTTGAGCTCCTGGTTAGCAGAGTCAAGATCAGAATCCACTCCTTCGCTAGGGATAATCTTCCCCTCCTTTCTGGCGCTGTTATGGTCGAAGGCGTTGTCGAAGAACTGAAGGAGCTCCGACATATCAGGGAACTCACCTCCATCACTCTCAAACTGTGTTATGTTCTTTAGAACTTTAGATTCAAACTCCTTTCCCTGGAATATGAATCTGGTTGAGTTCTAATTAAATGACCGTCTCCAGCACACCCCCTGCTCCCTTTTAAAAGGACAATGACTATCTATCTATCTACCTAATCTTTACTAGTAAAATCACGGGTGGTGCCCTTTAAAAAAATGAGGGGGAAATGGGGCCCAGAAATAATCAAAGAAAACTGAAACCCAAAATTGTAAAAAAAATCTATCAGAAAGAGAGGGGGGGAGGGTATTACCTGAAGTAAACTCATGATTTCCATAGATTTCTTGAATCCATCAAGACAGATCAGTAAATCCATGATCTTACGCTTGCTGTACACGTTCCCGTCAAACATGACAGCCCTGGAGTCAGGATGGGACTGATTCCTCTTCATGTCTCCAGCAGTGTGAATCTTGGAGAGAAGTCTCTCCAGGTCTGGAACCTTCTTGAGCTGGGTTCGAATTTCTCCGGCTTCTCCCAACTGCATTAATTCCTTCACGGCTGTCTGGCGTTGCTTGATAGCGGAGGGTTGGAGCAAGGGGGTCACAACCCAGTGTCTCAGGGTACGTTTTCCCATAGCAGTTAGACATGTGTCCAACCTCGAAAGTAGTGTTCCTTCAGTATCTCCAGTAGGACCCGAGACCAGATCGAGATTACGAATAGTTATTCCATCTGAAACGTTGTCATAAGAATCTAATCACTGTAAAACGATCTCATATAAATAGTTCTTCATTAAATAAAAGTGATTAGACAATAATAATTTATTTTAAACTTAATTATTAAAAAAAGGTATAAAACTTGCCTAGAACCATATATTTTCCTGTGGGTCCAGTTTTAATCTTTTCCGCAGGAGGTGGGACGGAGAAATCTACAGGAACGTATCCTTCAAACTTCTTCAAGCTAAGAAGCTCCTGATCCAAATATCCTGCACAAATTTGTTTAGTTCCGAGAAAGCATAAAGGCACTACACACGTACTTTGAAGTAAAGAAAGATTATCAACTGTACCCTTGAAAGCTTTGTCTAATCAAGTATGAATCAGATATCAATTCTTTTGTCTCTTTATTTTGTTTATTTTCATTTTCGGCTTCACTTCGAAAGTGACTTGCACATTTCTTGCTTATAAGAAGCAATGGAGAAACTCGCAAAAATGAACCCTTTCGAGTCAGAAAAACGACAGTATCTTCAACATTTATAATCAGATTAAGGTTGCAAAGGTTCCGTTGTAAATCGGATATTGCAATCTTCGCATAGAGGGTTACTTGAAATTACGCTTACAGTCCCTTAAAGTAAAAAAAATTAAATAAAAATTTAAATATGGCACAGAATAATTTAAATCTGGCACAGAATAATTTAAATCTGGCACAGAATAATTTAAATCTAACACAGAATAATTTAAATCTGGCACAGAATAATTTAAATCTGGCACAGAATAATTTAAATCTAGCACAGAATAATTTAAATCTGGCACAGAATAATTTGTGAGAAAGCGTACTGTCAAATCTGAACCGACAATGTCATAAATTGTAAGGCCACATAAAATAACGTTAACTGTCCTTAAATTAATACCTGCACTTAAATACCACACAATTGCTCCTAGAGCGCGCACAGCGAGTTCTCCCGAACTAACTGCGTGCGCAACCTTGGAGTCAGAGCAATCAATAAACTCCTGAAGAGCTTCCGGCCAAACCATCTCATCACCCTCTCCAGTAAAATACTCCTTCTCTACAAGAACATTTAGAGTTTTATCCGACTCCCAGAACTCTGAACCTCTCTTTAAACCCTCCCTCCTGGCTCCGGGTAGGCTGGAAGTAAGGAAGGTGGTTGTGGTGTTGGAGAGTCCACCCTTCTCAAACAATATCTCCGCTGGAGGGAAATGAGCTGTAAGAGTTCTCAATCTAGAGAGATTCTTGTCGTCTGAAAACTGTCCAAGGTGGAAGATACCAATTGTGGTGTCCACGAAAGCGACCCCGAAGGTTGGGGTTGCTCCGGAGTTTTCGCAGATAGCGAGAAGATATCTAGGATCCCCTTCGAAGTTATCACTGTCCAGATAATTGTTGACTCGTGTTCCCTTGCTGCTCATTTGACAAACCTCTCTCCGTACAACCTTGTCAACCTTCACTCCTCTGGGAGCGTTCTTAGACCGTTCCTCAAGATCTGCAGGAGTTTCAGTCTGTTCTATCCTTGCAACCTTGTAACCCTTCTCCACCAGTGTAGCAGCATACCTTCCGTAAGCTATCTCAGGGAACCCGGCGTGTGCAACGTCTCCTCGCATATAGATAATGTTGAGCTCTGCTACCCCGATGTCGGCGTCCATGTGGAACAGCTCGTAGAACTTCCCCATCTTGAAGAAAAGAACAACATCGAAAAGTTTAGATTTCAGCTCCCACCACTGTCTTTGACCCGGAGATTGGTCTTTCAAGAACGAATCTGGAACCTTGAGAGTTCTGGGATTGTAATCAGGATCCGTCTTCTTTCGTCCGTCGGCATCTCTGATGTTTTCCGGTCGGAGAAAGGGAAGCTCGGTGTGTTTAAAGCTTTTAACATCATCCTCCGGCTCCGGAGCAGTAGCTCCGAACATGGCAAGTTTCTTCTTAGTACTCTCGCCTACACTAGGCAGAGGGGAGGAGTCGGACTTGGAACCAAAGATGCTCGGAGAGAGAGAGGACAGACCAGGAGTAGATGAGCCTCCTGCCATCATCTTTGCAAATTTACTAAAAAATAAGATTTATCAGTTAAGGTTTGGTCTAATCTCTAATAATGACTCACATTCTAGAATACTTAAGCGAATTTCGACAAAATATAAATTTTCAAAATTAAGATTTTCGAAATTGTAGAACTCTTCGTTTCACGAAGAAAAACTCTGCGATAGTGAACATTGAACATTAATTAAAATTAGAATAAATTTTTTTTTATCCCCATGCACCTAACTGGAGTTGAAACAGGTTTGATCAAATTGGGTTTCTTCTTTGGACCAGAGTTCTCTTTTCTCTTCCTCTTTATCCCAGATTTTACTGGAGATCCGTCCTCGGATGAAGGTTCAGGTTCACTTTCCGCTTCATCCTCGTCCGAGGTCACATGATCCTCCTCCTCAAGCTCCTGGAGGTCCTGTAAAATTCAAATCAGAGATACAGAATTAAGAAAAAAATGAGATTTCTCTCCCAAAATTAACCTCTAAGATCAACTGGATCTGTCACCTTCTTGGTCGGGTTAAAGGTTTCATCGTCTCCGCTGTCATCGCTGTCCAGCTCTATAATTCTTCTCCTCTTCTTGACAGGTTCTCCTTCCGGTTTGTTTTCTTTACTTCCGGGACTCACTTCCTCTTCAACTTCCTCCTACGATAAAACACCTATTTATTTTCATTACCGGGACCAGCAAGACATAATTGAATTGCGTATACTAAGTTTATGTTTATGTTTATGTTAGGATTATTTTCAGGACTCCTGGCGGAGTATATAAGAAAATTTCCGATTGTTGACATGATATTCATATGGTTGCATATATCACATTAATATACAGAGTAAATTATATTCAATAATTTCGAATATCCAGTGAATCAAGATTAAAAATAAGGGACATTTATTTTTTTCTTTTGGTAGAGTTTTTATTTTTTCTCTTCCTTGACATTTTTCTTTTTTTATTTTTTGACGTTTTAATTAATTTTTTTTTTTTAAATTTTTTCATAGATTATTTTTTTTCTTATTTGGCCTTTCAGTTTTCTTTTGAAGTAATCTTTTTTCGGCTCTTTTTGTCCCAACAAAATAAACTAGATTAGATTAACCACTTCTTGAACCACTTCTTTTGTTAACTGGGTTAAGCTGAAAAGAAAGGTTTCAACTATATCTCGCTTTTCATTAAATCTGGTCCCAGATATTTTACAAGATAAAGTGAAAAAGTATTTCAGGGTTCAATTTTCGACTTTTATCTTGTATTTTTATTTCGAGAAAAAATTGGGAAGAAAATCAAAAAAGAAAAATTTCTTGATTAAGATTATGATCTAAATCTCAAGTTCTGAATTTATCCTGTAAAATCTAAAATTTACCTCCCACTCATCATCGCTAGGTAAATGCTGGACCAGGAGTAGATCCAACCTCTCCTCATTACTCAGCTCCGCAACCTTCTCTGCGTCCTTCAACCCTTTATCCCAAGTCTGATCTGCTCCCTCTCCCCTCCCAACCTTCTCGTTGAAGGGTTTTATCAGATCTATGTTGACCCAGGCCCGGGTGATGGGATCGTCGAAGAACTGAACGTGAAGTTCTTGTTTGCGGAAGGATCGTTTCTCTGTCGGATGATCGCAGACAAGACTCGGCCACCAAGGGTAACCTTGTAGCTTAGACCAAACCAAGGAACCTAGAAGGATAAAAGTATGTGAACTATTAACAGCGACATAAACGAATAAGGAAGTTAAGTATTGGACCCCCCCCCCATCTCCAATCAATTTTGTACATGGATCTCAAATGTAACACATGGATATAAATGGTCATGTGGCCGCAGCGCCCGGCCCCTTAACCTGTCCTAGCCAGGGCGCTCGGCCCACTAGCCTATCCTACCCGCTGCGTCGGCCACCTAGCCTGTCCTAGCCATAGCGCTCGGCCCAGAAAATGTCATAACCTAACCTAACCCTAAAATAATAAAAAATAAATTATAATAATTTGGCTGAAAAAAGTGGTCATTACAAAATCGATAGGAGGGGGGTCCAAAAATCGTTCTCCAGGACAGACCCGGAAGTTTCCAGTGGTGGGGCAACTTAAAAGTCTCTCCGTTTTCCGAACCCTTCCCCCCTAAGGGGAGCAATTTACCAGTAATGAGCCGTTGCTCCACGGCTCACTTTCTTTTCTTTTCCTGAACCACGATCTTAAGAAAATTCCATAATTGCAATAACAACATCATGTTATCTATTACCCCAAAAAGAAGAAGTGTTAGGAGGAGGGGGGAGGGGGGGGAGTTAACTTATAAAATCCTTCTATTTCCTTACCTGGAGGGTATTTTGGGTTGGCGCCAACCTTGGCATTAGCAGATTTAGATGATAGAGGCGAATTCTGATCTCCCTTTCCGTTGCTTACTTTAGATCCAAGGGGGGTTTTAGGAGATCCCTTGGGCTGCTGAGGAGACCCTTTCGGGGTGCGGGTGAAAAAACTTAGTAATGACGTTTGCATATCTGAAAATGACAATGTTAGATTTAAAGTTTTTACAAAATATAAGGATATTTTTTTCTTGTCTCAATCAACTTTCTGTTCAGGCGCCGAATATCAAATGCCGCGATTTTCTATTGAGAAGGACGCGCTTGCAAAGTTTTCCACCATAACGTCATTAAATTTTTAAAACATTAGTATTACGCTACAGGAGTAAATTCTGGATATGTGGCGTCCTATGATGATATTTGAAAAAATATATCATAATACTGGTTTAATAAGTTTAATAGAGAGTAAATCTTGTAAATCATTAATAAACAATTACTGAAACATCGATTCTGAAAATGTTTGAGTTAACGACTTGGGACAGTTTTGTGTACACCCTTCTTATCCTGTTCCTCATGCTGATTCTCTCTAAACTGTTGGCAACACCACCCACAGTACTCAACATCAGAGACAACAGGAACGGACACAGATGGACGCTAAACAAGTTCATCATAGACTTCCCGCTTCACTGCAATGGATGCGAAACCTTTCTGTTCACCGCTACAGGTCAGTGACTCTCTTTTGATGTATTATAAGCGCCCAGCCCACTATAGTCTGTTCTATCTGTGGCGCGATCGGTCCCCTTGCATGTCCTAGCTGCCGCATTTCTTGGTTTTAAGACGCAAAGGAGGATCTCGCAGAAATAAACACTTTTCGAGTCAAAAAAAAAAACTAAAGTATCTTTAACATTTTGATTAGATTAAAATTTCAAGTTTACTGTTGTAAACCCCGTTATTAGTTTTAATTCCAGACTCTCGACCTTCAATTGATCTTGCATAAATAATAACTGATTTGTTTTGTGGAGGTCAATGCTGTACTGTTTGTGGTGCGGCAGCATGTACAACTACTAAATGTATCCGAACAGTGGATCGAAGAACTCCGTGTAAATCTGTATCTCGAGCTAGAACTGTAGAGGAGGCAACCTCGAAGATGGAAGGAGAACGGAAACATAGGTAATTGTTCAGTGCATGATAATTGGAAAATGATTGTCGAATTCGTTTTTCTTATAATATTTAAAATTCGTTTTGAATTTAGCATTTGTTTAAACAAATACTATTTAAAAATGGGGGCACGATTTTTGGTTCTGATTCTGACTCTGTACCACAGAATTTAAGATTCTCTATGTTTTACGCTTTTGATTATTGTGAGACAGAAAAAACTCGTTCATCTGAAAGAACGATTTTACAATTTCGGAAGTTTGACCCCCCCCCCCACCCAGTAGAATAATTCCTGTATACATCCGTGATGTGAGCAGTTATATATATTTCTTTCCGGTTTAGGTGGGTTGAAGGAAACCTACCCCTGGACTCTATCTGTGACGTATGTGAGGATCCTGCCGGAGATGGACCTGGACTCAAAGACTTCCAGTGTATTTGGTGCCAGAGAAAGGTCCATGTGGACTGCAAACAGCAAATACAGGTCAGTCCCTTTTTCAAATCAACAATTTAACAAATTTTGTGCATTAAGAAGACACTTCGAATAATGCTGCAACTCAGAACTTAATCTGGTATTTCGGAAAAGTTGTATTTTTGGCTCATTTTAGGAAGAATGTGATCTTGGAAGGTTTAAAAACTTTATCGTCCCCCCGGAATCCGTGGTGGTCAAAACCGGACGGACGATTCGCCGAAAAGTCATCTCTGCTCTCGTCCTTCCTAAAAACAAGGAATTTCGTCCACTGATCGTCGTTGGGAATCAAAAATCTGGGAGCAGTGATTGCGGCAACATCCTTGCAGCGTTCCGGAGACAACTAAATCCGTCCCAGGTGATTGACCTGGCCGAGGGTAGGATGGAGGAGGTCCTGGAGTGGTGCCAACTTGCATCTCCTGTTCCCTGTACTATACTGGTATGCGGAGGGGATGGAACAGTTGGCTGGCTTCTTAACACAGCGGAGAAATTAAAATTGAAAACTGAACCAATCATTTCAATATTTCCTCTGGGAACAGGTGATTTTAACTAAAATATTTAGAATTTGATTTAGAAAAATTAAACTATCATTATTATTATTGATATTATTTTAAAACAATTTCAGGAAATGATTTAGCTCGAACCCTGGGTTATGGTTCAGGTTCTGATTGTTCTGAGAATATCAACAAGTATATGGCAAACATAGGTAATTGTATAAATAATACATGGTTATCAACTAAAAATAAGATTATGAGATTTAGAGACGACTTTACATAATTTACTTAGCTTATTATGAGATTTAGAGACGACTTTACATAATTTACTTAGCTTATTATGAGATTTAGAGACGACTTTACATAATTTACTTAGCTTATTTCTTACATTCACGGAACCTTAAAATCTCATATTTTAGTTCGTTAGTAAATTGAAATATGATACGATTCAATATGATTCAATATTTACTTAAATTAAAAACTAATAGTATATAGTAATTAGGACAAATAACAAATAAATTAATAACAAACTTATCGATCAATGAAATATTTCTAAAATTATACTAATAAAAAAAAATTATGTTTATTTTTTTACTCTAAAATGTAAATGTTTTGGATTTTAAAATATATTAACAGATATTTCACAATTAAATAACTTTTATATCAATAATTTTTTTAAAAAAGTATCACAAAATTACCTTTTCAATTTACCAGTCAAATAATTCTCAGAATGTTTTTAGTTACTTTGCAAATAATCATAAAAAGAAATAAAAAATAAAAATTCAAATATGAAAGAAAAGTTGGTTTGTTCTTTTACCGAAATTAAATGTTCAGAAAAAGGAGAAACGGTGAAACTGGATCGATGGAAGGTTGAAGTACTCCCGAAGAGACATCTACGAATAAGACTCCCCAACTCCACAATATACATGAACAACTATCTTAGCATTGGAGTTGATGCCTTGGTTACTCATAACTTTCATAAGGTTGGCTTTATGAAAGTTCTAAAACCTGAAGGGGGGCGAGTTTCTATTCAACATTTTGCATAATTTAAATAAGAAAGCATTTTAATTACAGTGGTCGACTATAATATCAATACAATGAATACGATTTTTAGCAATAATGCTTTCAACAGGCATTTTTCAAATTACAAATTTATATTTAAACAAAGTGAAGCAATTAATCGACAACTGCTCTTTGTTTAAATGTCTAAGTGTCTCTGCTGTTGGAAAGCTTGGTCAATGAACACTCATGAGTGAATCCTTATAGTTATATACAGGAGAATTAAGTGACGACTTACTATCTTGTATTAAGGCTACTGAGGTTTTAATCCTGTAAATAATTTCTACATTTATAAAGCAACTAAAAATTTCATTTAATAAGTTTATTTTAAAGCTACTGTTCAAATCAATTTACTTGATTAAGAACATCAAGTTTCCCTAAGATTGCTTAAATTCCTATCTTATCGTCCCATGTATATATTTTTGAAGACCGCTTTAAATTAGACGACTTAAGCGACTGGGATAGTCAGACAAATTACACAATATATGTAAATGTAAATTCAATCATTATTTAAAGTAACTCTTTATTATTACGTCCAAAAAGGTCCGCTAGGTAGATAATTTAAGAACGTTAATAATGTTGTCAAATTATTTTAAAACTGTCAAGTAGATAATTTAAGAACGTGAATAATGTTGTCAAATTATTTTAAAAACTGGCAAGAAAAAAAAGTAAAAAATTGTCACAGGAGTCTTGCAATTTTATGTTCAAAGAAGATCTCTGAATGTGTTTGGATACATAGAAAATGTAATTTTGAATTTATGATAAAATCAATCAAAGAAAAAGTATTATTATTCTAGGCGAGGGAGTCTCCCTACTATCTGTTCTCATCCCGGTTGATCAATAAGCTGATCTACTTCAGCTACGGGACCAAGGACGTCCTAGAGAGGGAGTGTCAACACCTCAACAAGAAGTTAAATCTATTCATGGATGGAAAAAAAATAGAATTACCAAATATAGGTAACATATCTGTTACTTAAAATATTTAGATGAGAATTAAAGAGAGTGATTTTCTAGACATGGTAGTTGATTTGAGATTAAGTCAATATATAACAAAAGTGTTTAAGATAACAATTTCACGTCTTAATTTCATTAATTTTTTAAAAATAATTTGGATATCTGTCAATTTTGAAAGGGCTTTTTTATTAGTCTCTGAACAAAACAGTTTTTGATGTTGAATGGAATGAAATTCTTCTGAAATTTTCTTTGGATCAAAGCATTTAATACCCATTTTTATTTTGTAGCAAACCATTACTACCCGAAAAAGAAAAAGAAACAATAAAGCAAAAATTCAAACTTAAAATATTCTCCGTTTTAAATTGTCGTTAGCATGATATTTTATGGATTATTTTTATTTCAGAGTCTGTCGTTATTTTAAACATTCCATTTTGGGGTGCTGGGGTTGAGCCCTGGACCCTGGGTTCCGGTCACAAAGATTTCAAGATACAGCAGGATTACGCGGATAGGAAGCTAGAGGTGTTCTGCGTTTACTCCAGCTTTCATATAGCACAGATGCAGGTCATTATTTAACATATCATATTTGTATTTTGTTCAAACCTTTTTATTTTATTAATATTCTGTCATTCTGTAAAGTAACTGTAAGCGTATTTTCAAGGATTCTCCATGCAAAGATGGCAATGCCCGATTTACAATGGTACCTTTGAAACCGTAATATGATTAAAAATATTGAAGATAACGTTGTTTCCCTACGGAAAAGTTTTAAAATTCTGATTACTCCTCAAGTAATGTTTACAAGCCAAAAATGCAATAATTTTGCTTACAGCTAAAACTAACAGTTTCTAAAAAGTACTGCCAATAGATATTTACAACTCGATATCTCAAGCATTAACTTTAATAAAGTTAGATTCCGTGGATGTACAGAAAATATGATGTATACCCCCCAGGGGAATCAATTAAGCCGGATATGAACTTGTATACACAATTTTTGACCTCAGGTTGGTTTGAGTGAACCTCATCGGATCGGACAGGCAACCGAGGTACGGATAGAAATTGAGGATTCGGTTCCTCTCCAGATAGATGGAGAACCTTGGGAACAACATCCGGCAGTTATTCAACTCTCACATTATTCACAGGTATATAATAGGGAAAAATTAGGACCTTTCATGAGAAATTAATTCAGAGGTCAATGTTGCCTTTTACAAGGTAGAAAAGCAAGGATTATTACTTTTGAAAAAAAACTTGGAAGAATATTCTCTGTCTAAGATATATTATTGCAGGAAATGGAATAATTAGTAAAGGAACCACATACATTGATATCTATATATAAATTTGGCCTGTCTGTCTGTCTGTTTGTGTCCAATAAACGTCAAAACGGCTATACCGATCAGGCCCAAATTTTTTGTGGGACATCCAGGGACCCCAGGGAAGGTTTATGAAAAATCAAAATTTCAAATATTTGTCTCCATCAAAATTCGATCATTAAATTTTTAAAAATCCGCGAAATTTTTTGTGAAAATCCGCGAATTATTTTTGTTTTGTTTTACGATGTACACAAAGAGAACATGTTCACAACTAATTTAGAAGATGGGCGCGAAGCGCCCTCTAAGGCTATAAAGAAGGGCGCGAAGCGCCTTGAATTTCTAGTATTTTAAAAGAAAGAAGTAACAATAAATTCATTTATTTGTTTTATATTTTAGGTGTCGATGCTAAGACTGAACAAATGAATAATATTTAAGTTAAACAACCCAGTTCATTTTAATCCAGTGAAAACATTCAAGAGATATTATAGACTTTGTGATACAGTCATTTACAAGCTATTAACATATTAAATGCAATTAGTGATTTCATCATTGTATAATTAACCAAAGATTATTCTTGTCTCGGATGTAGAATGAAGTTTTCTGTAATATTATATCCATCAGGATAAATCTTTTTCCACCGTTCTAAGGTCTCCTCATCATGAATCACAATACCGTCCAGTTGGTTGCCTAGAGTCACCCAATTCGGTTGAACATTATGTGGCCGGCCAAACATTTCTATCTTTCGCGTCCCCGGGGACAACCGTTCGATAATACCATATATTTCGTCTGGTTTATGACTGGTGGCTCGAACTTCGGCAACAATTACGTCACAATCGAGGCCACGATTTATTGGAAGGTTTCCCTTGGCTCCGACCAGACAGTGTTCCTTCCCATGGTTTAACCAATGTCCTGTTCTCCCGGTTCTAATTATCCTCTGTAGCTGGTTAGTTTTAACCCAGATAATTTCATCCACACGTTCATATCCCCATAGCTTTAAGCACTCGCGTCCCAACTCCATAGCTCGCCCGGTCACCCAGAGAAATATTAAGCCTTCATCCTGAAAACTTTAAGAATTATTCATTGCAAATTTGCGCTGAAAATAACGAGCAACTGAAACTGCAGAATAATTCTGTGCCATAGACAGTAAATATATGAAACCATAGAACTTTGTTATAAACCTAAATTTTGTCAAATACCGTTTTAAATGAAAATAACTAAATATTTTAATTAAAATTGACGTATAACAGCATAAGATATTACCCCCCCCCCCCAAAGTAAAAATTCTAATTAACAAATATTTTTTAAACTATAGTATTTCATTTTTATATATCACTGATAATGTTATTTTGATCAAAGATGAATTGTATATAAATATTTTACTGTGCTAGTCTTGTTCATGTGTTGACAAAAATGTGTACTACTTTGTGTTCTTAAAAATAAATAAAAACATAAACATTTCCTTTTTCTTAATAATTATTATGTTGAGTTTTGGCTGTAAGACATTTGTGATATTAGCAATAGGAAAAAATTGAGAAGAGAAAAGAATTCGGTCATGACGCTTTAAAATCCATTGATTAATTTAACTTCATTCTGAAACTACTAATTTACCGGAATACGCAACATTCTGAATTGAGCAAATGAGGCATAGAGTAAACGAAGTATGGGGTGTATGTTTATTGAAATTCTTTTTCACAGCAAACAAAACAAATCTTTCCGAACATAAAATATTTTTTAAGTGGTTTAAACTCGAATAAATTTCAGATTCGGAGAAATAATATATTAAAAAATGAGTGAAAAAGCAGGGAAGTAGAATGCCCCATTTGAGCCCCCAAATTTGTTTGAACCATTTCAGTGAAGAAAACTGTCAGTAATAACTTGCCACAAATTCAAATTTAGATCAATAAGAATCAAATCATCAGTAATACCAGTTGAAGAAATAGTGAACAAACTTAGTAGATAGTTCTAGGATTAAAATACGATAATAAGTACTCAATTTGTAAAGTGGCGAAAAATGTACATTAACAGTCATCAATAGTAGAAAATTAGTACACCCATATCAGATTGAAATGGATTATCTTAAGAATATTTTAGAGAGCGAAACTTGGCTGGATTAAAAAGAGTGGGTAACGACCAACCTGGAGTCCAGGAACAGGAAGTTGTCTCATCTCATCATCACTCATCGTTCCATAAGGAAGTTCCATATGAATATCCCAGGGGGGATCAGCCATGATAACACTAAACTTCCCCAAAACCTCAAACTTGAAATTACGAAGATCACACTGAATCCATTGAGGCGGGACGAGTTTAGTACTCTCCAGAACTCCGCTCCGCCCACTTAACCCGACCACGCCCTTCTTCACCTTCTTGTCTATATCGGACTGGTCCACCTCGTAATGAATGTATTTACATGTGTCCATGTGAAAGCAGGTGTTGAGGAATGAGCAGTCTCCCAGACTTTCGTCCGTGTGACATTGGATGATTTTTACAAAATGAAGTTTGGCGCATGGCTCTCGAGTTCTGTTCACCCTGATACACTCCTTCTTGGTGGAGTAGGAGCAAAACTCCTTGACTCCGCCCCCGTCCTGACTCTTGAAGGTGTCCATCAGACTCAGCTCTTTAGTTGTAGGTTTACTCAGAAGGGTTAGAATCTCCTCCTGCTGGGATCTCTCTTCCTTCTCCTTAGCGGACTGCATGGAGAGCAGGGCCTGGAGCTCGTCCACGTCCTTCTTCTCAGTACTCCGTCTTTCCTTTCCGTCCCGTTTCACACGTCCTTCAGACATAACAGGTTTAGTTTCTTCCTTAGGTTTCTTTAGAGCAGGTTCTGGGGGCTCATAAGGGGTTCCGGAGATAGCGGAGGCTTCAAGGTTTTGTATAGCTTCACGTCGTCTCTTCATTTTATCACGGAGACTTTGGCTTTTAGACTGAAAGCCCACTTCCCCTTTCCCGTCCTCCATTTTGGGTTTAAAGAGAAAAGTCTGAAATTATAATATTTTATCACAGATTGTGAAGACTGCAGATCCCCAGATCAAAGGGTTTAACTTTATGTATAAATTTATGTCACCCCTGGTTTAGGAGTTTAAATGTCAACTGGAAAAGAATGGATGAGTTTTGAAGGAGATAAACTCGGGTTTTTCCATTTCTAGTTTAGCATTGTCAATATCTCCTTGGATAGCAGTTTTCAGGTTCTCCAGGGTGGTGTAGTTCAGCTCCGGTCTCAAGTATCCGACCATAATCACTCTGAAATGATATGTCAATATAATACAACGATTTCCCCATAAAACTTAAATTAAGTATTTCACAAGAATATTTGTTTTGTTTTGTTTCTCTCGACATTCCTCAAAAAATATTTTTTCGGGGCAAAGGCTTAATTAAAAAAAAAATTGGTAGGTACCTTGCATAAAAATGTATTAAACATGTACAACATGCAAAACAAAAAGAATTAATTCAATCTCTTCAAATAGAAAAGAATTTAAAAAACTCACTTTAGCCATTGTCCATACAGTTCTCCGTCAAAGTTGTGAAGAATATGGGTTTCCATTGCTCTTTTCTCATTATTATAGAACGGATTCCATCCTATCAACATTGGAAATAAATTCCTTAGATAAAATATAATCTTAAGATGTAGGGAACTGTTAACATATTATATATATTCAGGATGGCAAAAACTTTTTTGAAAAAATCCGTACAAAAATCTGTACATTTTCAGAAAAAAAATCCGTACAATCCGTACAATTTTCGAAAAAAAATCCGAACAATCCGTACATTTTTTTGAAAAAAATCCGTACAATCAGTACAATTTTCGAAAAAAATCCATGCAATCCGTACATTTAAGAAACTAGAGAACTAGAGAACTAGAGAACTAGAGAACTAGAGAACTAGAGAACTAGAGAACTAGAGAACTAGAGAACTAGAGGACTAGAGGACTAGAGGACTAGAGAACTAGAGAACTAGAGAACTAGAGAACTAGAGAACTAGAGAACTAGGGAACTAGAGAACTAGAAAACCAGAGAACCAGAGAACCAGAGAACCAGAGAACCAGAGAAACAGAGAACTAGAGAACTAGATAATAGAGAACTAGAGAACTAGAGAACTAGAGAACTAGAGAACTAGAGAACCAGAGGACCAGAGAACCAGAGAACCAGAGAACCAGAGAACCAGACAACTAGAGAACTAAAGAGCGTTGATTCTAATTTTTAATACTGTTTAGATGGGTGTGAATTAGGCCATTTAACAAACAAACGATTAAGTTATAATTAGAAAGAGTGGAGTGTAGATTTAGGATCTAATATAATTAAAATTAGCGTGGTACAGGGGTTGCACACTCAATTAAAAGAAAGTTAATATTAAACTAAAAATGAAAAGATTTCCAGATAAACGGAAGAAACCTGAGAGGATGTTCTCAGATCTGATAAAGAGACAGATAGATAGATAGATAAACAGACACACAGATAGATAGACTGATAAATAGACAGAGAAACAGATAGATAAAAAGATAGATAAACTGACATGCAGATAGATATACAGATGGATAGACAGATAGCTAGACATATAGCTAGACAGATAGCTAGACATATAGCTAGACAGATAGCTAGACATATAGCTAGACAGATAGATAAACATATTCTCAAATGAACACTTCTGGTACATGTTCTCAAATGAACATATCTCGAAAATTATGAATGAATTTTGATTGTCAGTTGGAACATTAATCAATCTAATATTATTTAGAATGCAGAAAAAAAGTTAAACTAACTTCATTTTCACGAGAATTTTTTTTTTGAAATTTTCATGAAAAATTTGCTGAAATGAGTGAAAATTAAAAAAACGGTTTATTTCCAGGATAAAAATCCGTACAATTTGAAGAAAAAAAATCCGTACAATTTTAGGGTTACAAATAAAAAAATCCGTACAACCCGTACAATCCGTACATTTTGGCCACTCTGTATATTATATATATTAACATAGTTTTAAATTTATAAACTTCTATGTCTCAAAAACAAACTATATAACTTTCAAGTGACCCTGTATTTGTACAGTTACATATTCGATATAATGGTACCAATTCCACCTCTATCTGAGTAACAATGAGGAAGATAAAGCAGTATTTATCTTAAAAAGTGGCGAATTCTGTTAGTGACCTACCTGTTCACTTTTAAACAGAAAGCACTTGATAAAAAGTAATTTTTTAATATTTTTTTGCATATATCATCGCATCGATGAACAGACAAAGGTTTAACGAGTACCGTTGTGAATCGGACATTCCTCGGTAAAAATGGCGATAGCTTCACGTTCTCAATTAAAATTAGTAGAAAGCCCTAAATATTTATTATAATATCTATATAATAAAGCAAGACATTCATATATACATATGTTCCCTCTGGCCGACCAAACGGCTAGACCGACTGGGCTGAATTTATTTTTCTCACAATTTTTTATATTTATTTTTTCCCCCGGGCAACGCCGAACCTTTTAGTTTGTTACTAATATTACTAACCTATACTCATCACCATACCATGCACTGTCCCTTTATCCACGCTAGCAAACCCCCAGTATATTCCTCCGATTAACTCCTTAGGAAGATTATCGATCACTTCCTCAGAGAAGTTAGCAGTTGGAAATCCTAGGGAGTACATTTAGAAATTGTTCCCCCATTAAAAAAGAATTTAACCCTATTCCCGCTGGGGGGGGGGGTTCAAGTTGACCCCCCCCTGAAGTTTTTTTTACATAACTCAAAAAGTATTGGTCTGAGGCTGTTGAAATTTTCTGACTTTTCTTACATACCCAAAGCCCTCCCTTTAGGCCTAAAACCGGGCTTTAATACTAACTGCCTGAGTCCTCAGGCACACTGCCTGAATGACTGCTTTTGCCTGTAGCAAACTAAATCTTTGTTTTGACCCACTTTCACTTGTCAGGTTTTGATAAAATTTAGCTTTTTGGAAAGCCTATGACATAAGGAAACGGATTGCACAAGTTTTGCGAAAAAAAAATTGTATATTTTTTTGCAAAAAAACCTGTCAAAGGAAATTTGCACATTTTTAGTTTTTCTTGATTAAAAATCAGGTTATTTAAAATTTTGCAAAAATTTTTGCATATTTGAAATGGCATGGTCAAGGGCTTTTCAAAAATGTATAATTTGTCATTTTTTGGACAAATTTTTTTTTGCAAACATTTTTACTATAAAACTGGATTTTGCGATAAAAAATTCAATTTTCGCAAATTTGCAAATTTTTTTGCAGATTCTAAAAGTAGAGCACAAGAGCTTTCTAATGATGTATCATTTGTCATATTTGGACATAAAACATGGGATTTAGAGGGGGGGGGGCAAAATTGACCCCCCCCCCAGCGTATCCTGGTTTTCAAGTACCCCAGCGGGGATAGGGTTAAATGATCAACTGAGACGATTATAAAACTGCGAAATTTTCTCTTTTAATGTGAAGATAAATTAACAGGAATATTAGATCTTATGACAAATAAATCTAAGGATGACTGTTATATTGACCTAAATCCCATTAAATTAAAAAGATTGGTATTTCAGAATAACATTTAAATTTACAAAAAGCAAAATTACATAAATCTGAACATTTAAAAGGAATAGGCAAGACGGACAAATGGAAAGCAGTGCTTAGGATCTGGATCCGCAAGATTTTGGCTTCCTGGATCCGGATCCGCAAAAATATGCGGATCTACAGATCAAGATCCAAGGGGCAAAATATCAACAAAAAAACTGCAAAAAAAATTTACTCTCAAACCCCAAATCTGAACTAGATAAAAAAGAAAGATAACAAAAATTTCATGATTTCTGAATGGTTCATCAAGTTTTAGCATAAAAATAAGCGAAAAAAATGAGACAAAAAATTTGAAAGTTCAGCTTTGTTAAAATTGCAGTAAATTTTATGAAAATAACCTGGATCCGGATCCATTTTTCCCCAGTGCGGATCCAGGATCCGGATACGCATCAAAATTAAATGGATCCTAAGCACTGATGGAAGTGAGGGATTAGTAACATGAATATTTCTTTTCGTCAGGATGGAAAAGAAAAGGGTTGAAAATAAATTTATCCACCTAAGATGAATTAAAACAAAATCGGGATTGTAAATCGTTCTAAGTCTCCTATTGAATGAAAAGATAGTTTGATGTAATAAAACAAATTAATCTGCAAATGATTATTTTAATGAGGATCAGTGCATAGGATCCGGGGGGAAATATCGGGGCGAAATGTCGATCAAAAACTGTAAATAAAAATGCAAGTTCTTAAAACTCAAATCTGTTAAAACGAGAGAATATCAAACAATTTCTTATTTCTTATCGCTGAATAGGTCATCGAGATTTAGCATAAAAATAGATGAAAAAAGAAGAAAATCATTTTTAAAATTTTTATTTTGTTTAAAAATCAGAAATTTTTAAAGAAATTTTCATGACCTGGACCCGGGTCCGGATCCATTTTTTTTCAGTGTGGGGTGTTCTTATTGTTAGTTGTCTAGTTTATTATTCTTAGTTGTCTTACATCAAAATTAAATGAAATATAAGCACTGCTGAGGATTAACTTAAATTACAGCAAATCTGTAATGTTGGGGTTTCAGAATAACCCTTAAAATTTTCATAAAGCAAAAAATACGATTTGAATCATTGACAAATAAACGACTCTTAAATCTAAGGGTACTAGGTTTGCTAAGAGAAAGGAAAAGATGTTTTAGTGAAATACATGGGTTGAACAATCTTTGTTTTTCTAGGGTCCGAATTTTATGAATTGGAAAGGTTGTTGAATTATCTACCGCCACCGGTTCAACTCCTAAATCATCGATTTAAATCCACATGAATATTTAACTTTGAATTGGGGATTCAGGACTTGACTCGGAGGTAGATATTTCAACAACCTATACAATTCATTAAATTTGGACCCTGAAGGAAGATAATCCTGATTATTTGTCTTAAAATGTAAATTATTCTACCTAGTTCTCTAGATCCTCGCCCGAACCCTTTCACAATATTTCCTTCGGCAAAATGAGGTAAAAACTCCGGCCCTGATAAACTAGGCTTCTCACACTCAGATCTTTCATCCATTTTATATCTAGAAGATCAAGCAAAGATTAGACCTGACAAAGATCAAATTTTGCGACAAGAATGTTATCTTGCGACAAGAATGTAATCTTGCGACAAGAATGTAATCTTGCGACAAGAATGTTATCTTGCGACAAGAATGTTATCTTGCGACAAGAATAAAAAGAAGGAAATTAAAGTCTGCGACCACGACGACCTCCCTTCTTCCTGTTACTATCTGAAGGAATTGGAGTACAATCTTCGATCCTGCCAATCTTCATCCCCGCTCTGGCGAGGGCTCTGAGAGCAGATTGTGCTCCGGGTCCAGGAGTCTTGGTTCGGTTTCCTCCTGTAGCTCTGAGCTTGATATGGAGCGCAGTGATCCCGAGGGTTTTAATCTTCTCGGCAACATCCTGAGCGGCTAACATAGCGGCGTAGGGAGAAGCTTCGTCACGGTCAGCCTTCACCTTCATTCCTCCGGTAACCCTGAAAGTAGAGAATTTAATCAACTAACACACAAATTCGTACTTTATCAAGTAATTTAGTATTTTTAAACAAGCAAAATAAATTAGAGCAATCAAAATATGGGGCTTCCATCATACATGGTTTTTGTTTAAACTTCGTACAACCGTAATACGTATAAGAAAACGAAAAAATCCCATATTTAACACAAAATATATAAATTGAGGGATTGCTCAATTGAAACGTGATAAAGTATTTCGGAAGTTTGATGAAAAAAATAAATATTAATGAAAAAAAGTTTTTTAATTACACAAATAGTTGAATATTAATATTTAATAATGATAATAATAATATTATTTGCAAAAGAAAATGTATCGTTAAGCCCCCCCCCCCCCTTTCTTGAAGAATAGAGAAACCAGATCGTCAACGGATCATTTTTAGTGAATTTCTGACCTGCAGATGGTTTCCCTGCCAGAGAGGTCGGTGATGTGAACGAAGGTATCGTTAAAGGACGCATAGATATGCGCTACTCCAAACACGAGTTCTCCCTCACGTACTTGGGGTCCAAGCTGAACCTGAACCTCCTCCTTCGTCTCCTTCTTTCCCTTTCTTGGTGCCATTTTTGATCTGGAAAGAGCAAAGAACGTTAATAAAAAATTTAAGATATTTAAAAAATGCGGGAAAAATTTAGATTTCGTCTTCGTTGAGAAGCATGTTCGGAATACCGTCGGAGACGGGAAATTTTCTGCTGGTTTCAGGACAGACTAGGTTTCCGTTGATCAGCTCTATCTCGAGGAGGGCGTGGTGAGCCTTCTTTAGGAAGTCCTCGTCGTTCTCGTAGTTGGCTGGTGTTGCCTGCGGTAGATCGTCTAGGTGTCCCAGCTGCTCGGCAGCACGTCGTAGACAGTCCCAGTCAACCTGAAGTACAGATCAAAGCAAGGTAAGGTGAGGCCAATAGAAAATTTTGTACTCAAAATACACGAAAATCGGTAATACACAATAAACTCAGTTTTAGTGAGTGTATAAATGCATATAATAGTTGTTTGTAAACAAACACCACTGAAACTGGACATGCACCAAAACATAGATTTGATCCCATTTTTCAAGTCTAAGTCGCAGTTCAGAGTTATAATTAGAGCAAGAGTTGCTTGGCCTAACCCCCCTCTCTTATGTCGAAACCTTTAGATATTGTTTCGACATAAACCTAATTAGATTGAATGAAAATAGACTGCTAAATCAGTTCATAGTGTATTGATGAATTCTGTGCATAAAATTTGACCCAACCCTTGGAAACAATGAATATAGGGTCACAGAAATGAGTTCTGCCATTAACGATTTAAAAATATAAAAAAACGACAACTTTTGACATAAAAGCCCGAATTTAAACAATAGAAGTAGTTGAATTAAAATTAAACCGATTCTCCGTGTGAGCTTGCTCAAGTTAGAGAAAAGTCTGCGTGGTTTAACCACCTCTTGCTATTTTTTACCACACACTCTGATTTCTAATCCTTATAAGTTTGCAACCCATGTCGAAGACTTTAGATACTTTAAACTATGATTCTGTTGAATCAAAAAATCTAAGTTTGAAATATCAAAGGTTTACACCATCAGATAGCAAATATATATGACGTAGCAAATTTGAGTTTGTGGTGAAGACTCAATTCCTTTGACGCGGCCCATTAAAATCTTTAAAAAGAAAAGAAAAAATACCTTAGGTATTATTCTCGAGATGAAATCTGGATTAAACTCAACCTCGCTTACTTTTACATCCCGGGCCTCAATCAGCAGCGGGTATCCAGTATTCACCTTGTCAAAATGTAATTTTAAAACTATTATTTTTTTTAAATTGATTTTTTTACCTTTTTGATAGCCTTAGAGGTTAACATATTGTGCGTCAGAAGCTTCATTGTTTTCTGAAACATGTATCAGGTTCAATTTCTTCTCTGGTAGTGTTCAAACACTCTCCAGTACTCACGGCTCTGGATTATCTGTCTTTGTCGTTCAACAGTCTGCATCCAGGATCGGAGATATGAATCCTGCTCAGGGGTTAGGTTTACACTAGGCAGATTGACTCCAAGGTTTGGAGGAAAGGTTGGGTTGGGTTTAAATGCTGGGTTGATCTCATCATCATCACTAGAAATTGAATCTGAATCTGAACTCTCACTGGTCGAATCCGCGCTTTCAGAGGAAGAACATTCGGAGCTATTGGACTCAGATCCGGAAACAACATTAAGAGTTTCCGGTTTCCAATCAGTCTGAACTTGTTGCAAAATATCCGTCACTGATCTATAATTCAAGTTAGTTTTACATTTTGAAATCTGTTCGTTAACCCTGTCCGTCCTACACTGGACAACCTCGGAGAAATGGTTCACAACTTTCTTCTTTGCCTCAAGACTAAGGCCCGGAGACCGTGACTCTGGTCGGAGCAGGGAGGAGGAACCAAGGTTTCTAGCAATATTCTGGAGTTCTGTATAATTCTTCAATGATATGGTTGGATCCACAGGACCGGTTAGCATTGTATCAAGTAGTTTAACATAATCAGGTTTCGTTACTCCACTTTCTTCCTTAAGATCTGCGCTATCAACGGCAGGAGATGAGGAATGTTTCTTACCTCTTCTCTTAATCTTGTTCCCCGTCTTGGGCTTAGGACTCTTCTCTGTGTGGGACTGATCCGGGTCCTCGCTAAGTTTGACTTCCCTACTAGATTTCTCCGATTTACTTTCCTCTGCAGCTTCTTGGAGTTCGGTTTCAGATAACCCTTTCAGGATTGGTAACACCTCATTCCTCACATTCTTGGGAAGGATTGTTGGTAGAATACGTATTGAAGAATCAGTCAAACTGACAATCTTTTTTAATCTCTTCATATCTCTTCCTTCTGGGGCCAGAGAAATTGCAATAGAATTTGAACCGAACCTTCCTCCTCGTCCTATTCTATGTAGATAGGTATTATGATCATCTGGTACATCAAGGTTTATCACAAGATTTACATTCTCAGCATCAATGCCTCGTGCAGTTAGGTCTGTTGAACATAGAATCCGACACTTGAAGGTTTTAAAGGTTTGTATTGCTTGGATTCTGCGAATTTGGTCTTGTCCCGCAGAAATGAATATTGAAGGAAATCCACGAGAATTTAGAAAATCTGCGGTTGACTGTGCGATGACTTGAAAGTTTGAGAAGACAAGGCACTGATTGTAAGGAATCGATGAGAGAATTTTAAGAAGTGCTTCCTGCTTGATCTGATTTTGCCGCGGTTTAGAGGGAGATTGCTCCAACTCTAAAACAAACTGAGCCACTCCATGAAGAACCTGGTTCTCCTTACCCAACCTAACATGCTGAGGTGACCTCATAAACTTCTCTGCAAGGTTGGATAACTCCTCCGGATAGGTGGCGGAGAGCGCCAGAACCTGTTTGTTCTGAGGCAGAAGGTTTAGAATATGAGTTGTATCTTTAAGAAAACTTGGCTCCAAGAGTTTATCCGCCTCGTCGAGAATAACCAGCCGAACCGTATCAGGGTTCAGGATTCCCTCGTCAAGGATCTGTTTAAGACGACCAGGTGTTCCTACAGCAAGATGACAGCACTGGGCCTTCACTCGGTCCTCGGAAACCGGTAGACCTCCGATAAATGACGATATCTTCACATGAGGGAGAGAAGAACCGATCTGAGAAGCAACTTCTACACCTTGCATCGCGATTTCTCTAGTTGGAGCGATTACTAATACTTGAAGTCCAGGTAGATCACTCTAAATAAATAGATAAATTTTGAATATAATAAATAGAAATAAAAACGACAGAAAGAAAAAAGCGTATCAAAAGTTTTTTTTCTTATCGAAAATCGCAATATTATTTTTCTTTGGAGTAAGACTTGATTTAAGATCTTAAACATTAACCTTACAAAATAAATAAATTAATTAAAAATTCAACTAACCCTGATCATCTCCAGTGCAGTGACAACGTAAACACACGTTTTCCCTGTCCCAGATTTAGACTGTACAATCATATCGAGTCCAATCTTACTGTTAGGTAGTGCAGCTAGTTGGATAGGACTTGGATGCACAAATCCAGACTCACTAAACAATAAATATTTCAAACCAAAACGGAAACTATATTTGTAAAAAAGTCAACCCCTTTCCTTCAGTTCTAATGTTTCCCATTTCATCCACATCCACGGACTAATCGTAATCTGTCAAACCATTCTTCGCTATTCTGTCACTTTTTCGTAATTATGTTCTATCGTTAAAATTCTGTTCCATCCGTTCAAATTCTGTTCCATTCAATCCCTACCTTTTACATTCTGTCCCATCCGGATCCATTTTTTTCAGTGTGGGGTGTTCTT